TGACCTTAAACACAGTGAGGCATCCAATGAGGTAATAAGAGTGAAAATTTTTATGCTGTCCAAATCTATTTCCTAATTTATGGCCAATAAAGCATGCATTTGTACAATGAAAAGAAACCACTGCAGATGGCTGCAGCAAAAATGGTGCAGTAAATGCTTTCATTCATTCAAATTGTCATTTGTTCTGTAGCTCTTAGTGTACAAAAATAATTTTAACTGTGCTGTTCCAATACTTACAGAGGGCACTATATCTCTAGTGCTGTAAAGCAACTGGTAAACTGTAAGCCCAACACTGTAAACTGACTGACTGTAATGTTGATTTTAGATTTGAGACCTAAACATCAAGCTGGACCTGCTTTTTGAGCCTGTGCATTGACGTTAATATGTAAAGACTCGGACCCAAGACCTTAACATTTTTATTTGAGGCTTTACAGGGAAACTCGCAGCAGCACACACACATGTTCAGTTTTTTCGCTCTTGATTTCCCTCAGTAATGCTACTTCATTAATTTAAAAAAAATGAATTCACTGTTTTTGTGACATGCATCTGCCCATTCAGCCTGTAGCAGTTTAATCCAACCCATTCATACTGAACTTATAAGGAGTGTTTCAGCCTGGACTGCTGAATGTGACACAATATAGGGCAGCCAATCAGAACAGCTTATGAAGTTTAGGATAGTTTTCAAATTTGTTTCATTTTTTAAAGATTGAATGGTTTACTGCCTGCCTACATCTCAGAATGTTGTTTACCATCAACTTGCATATGATTTCTGATGTAATGCAAGTGAAACACAGAAGTGGTGAGGCTTCAGTTTATTTTAATGAACCACAAAGAATTTGTTAGACACTTTCTAAGAAGCAGATCTGATGTTTTTAGTTCTTGCTTTGGGTTGAATATTTAGCAGACCAATTCATGCCAAGTAGAACCACTGCAGAACATCTCTGAAAAGGTTCAACTACCTCTCCTCTGCATAGAAGATCAAACAATATTAGAAATTAAAATGACTGTTTTATGGACTTGTACCATTCCTCATTTAAATGCTGTTATTTATGTGATTCATATGAAACTAATTCAGCTGCTCTGTGCTTTACTCAGAACTGGAGCAGAAGTGTGACTTTCTCTATTGTTTACCTCCAGTTAATCTTAAAAGCTGGATTCCTGCCATTTCATTCTTCACTCAGATTATCTCCGTGGGTTATCCTCACTGCTTTGAAGGAGAGTGAGTGCAGTGTTTAATGGTTTACTCATCTAATTAGGGATTTCGCTTAAGAGGATTATATTCAATTGGTTGTAGCGTACCCTACTAACTGGAAGGAGAAGCCCATGAAAATAACTACAAATAACCAATAATGACTTATGATGTATACAGGAAAATGTATACTGTCTACATTGTAATGACTTCAGCATCATCAGTAGTCCACCATATTAATCCTTTCCTGCTAAATGAACTTTTAAACCACACTATTTCCCTGTGTTTGGCTTCAGAAAATCAGCATTCTTTTTTTGATGATGATTTAAAATGTCCTGCATACACTGTAAACAATGATTTGAACTTAAAAAATAACTTTAAACCTAAAAGTATTTTTCTCAGCTTACTATTTGATATTCAACAAACTTAACAAAAATTGTAAGGCAGACAGTTTTGCAGTGCAGTTTTATGTCATGACTGTACAAAAATAGAATGTACATGCCAAAGCCAGATGGCATGTATCAAACGATATGCCTCTAAAGAATATAAACCTTCTGATGTAAACAGAGCAAGCACTGAATAACATATTCAGTTATCCAACTCTGTTTATGATCAGAAAGGGAAGATTTTCAGAGGATGGATGGAGTTAGCAAGGTATCTCCTGGTCATCAGTAGAGAGGATTTACTCATGCAAAGTAAATAAAGATAAACTGTCAAAAACTCTGGGTTCCACAAATGCAGGGTAGAATCTAAATGATAATTGAATATTATCTCTGCATTCAACAATTACACATACAGCTGATCAAATAAAGATCTTCTATACAGTAGCAGGAAACAAGAACACAATTCAATGAAACGTCAATCTGCACATCTGTCCCTAAAAATATCTACACTGCCATTCAAAAGTTTGGAATCACTGTTTTCAATAATATAAAAGCAATTTGCTGACGACACATGTATAAAATGATTCTGTTATCTTGCTACAACTCTTTTAGTCAGCTAATTACTAAGAAGCTGTAAGGAAATTTTAGACGTGTCTAGAAAGGTGAACAGAGCTGTAGATGATTCCATAATGTCTGAGAAAGCTCAAAGTACCAAGAGTGGAATTATAATCTTAAAACATCTTAAAACTTTCTGGTGTTTAGCTATAGGTATAACTTAAAACTGAATAAATCAGCATTTTTTAATATGACAAGTGATTCCATACTTTTGTCAAGTTTTTCAAGCAGCAGTACATGTTCTAAATCAGGGGGTCTCATCAGTCCTGGTCCTGGAGAACCACTGCTCTGTGCATTTAAGCCTTTCAACAAACAAATTGCTTCTGCAAAAGCACCTTAAGGTATAAGTCATGCTAAGCCTGACAACATTATTACATAATTGTCTGATAGCTACTAAGTACCAACAGCGAGCTATTAGGATAATATTAGCACATGTGGCTATTTTAGGCTTGTACTGTTGTACAAGACATGGGCTTGTAGGCTTGTGCTGGGCTTTTATAAGCACTTATTTATTTGTCTACACTGAGACAAATGTGTACTAGCCTGATATTTAAAATGGCAAATTGAGGCTATTAAAGCTAGGCCTTCAATTCAGGCCAAAAATGTCAAAAATTGGTCAAAACATGAGGAGAAACCCACCTCTAAGATAATGCTAATTTCTGCTGGCATTGCTATGGGATTTTCAAAGTTTAAGCAAACAACGATTCACATGAACATTTTTTGGCTATTCTAGATGAAACACAGACACCAGAAGCTTCAGAAAAACATTTCATGTTTTACTTGAAGCATGAAACAGACATATTAGCATACATGTTACCTTGTAGCAGTTCACAGTGATTCTTTCAGTAGAGCTGCTGCTGCTGTTTTCCATCTCTAACAACCCACTGATTAAGCTGCTGCTGGTATTCACACTCAGTCTAGGACTTTTAGAAGGTCTAGAGTGACATTTCTTCTCACGGAATTGGCCCCACCCTTATTTACCTTGATACCATAGAGAAAAACAATTCTTGATTGACCAGTTTTTCACTGGACATTTCAAGAACTGAACCTAAAGGTTTAGACGGCCATGAGGGTTCCCCTCTGAATATTTATGTTCGACAGTCTGTGATGCGAGTTTGTCATTGAATCTGTATATCATTTGTATTGATCTATGAACATGTCAAGGTTAGGAATGTGTTCATAAATCAAAATATTACTGAAGAATTACTTGTATGAAGTATTTTCACAACATTTCTGATCGCATTTCATAAATCTGGGCCATGCTGTCTTCATTAGCTGAGGGCACAAATGTCTTGAGTAAGCAAGGTTTTGACGCAATTGGCATTTACCAGATATTCATACTTTATACCCAGTATGTCTACTTCAAAGAGATGAAAGTGTATTGAAAATAACCTTTAAGGGGAATTTCAAGTCAGATGCAGGGGTCAGTCAATGTACACATTCAGGAAAAGGTTACAGTACATACAGTTCAGTTAATGACTGCTGTTATGAAGTTAGTATATAGAAAGAGAGCACAAGAAACAACCTAACACAGGATAAAATGCAACCCAGATTCTTTCCGTAGTTAAACTGGTAGAGCAGAATGTGATTTTTGTCATCTTGTATACTCATAGCAACATCAACTGCAGCATCATCTCACAGCAATTGGACAAATATTTGTAGCATGAAAGTAACTTTTTTTATCATGTTTTTCTATCACTAGATTGTGAGTATAAGTTACTGAATTGATGGCTGTGAAACAGCACCATTTTAAGCATAGCAATACCTCATAGTGAGAGCTAGCGAGACTAAAGTACGGCCTCCAGATGGAGGGATTCCAAAAGTAAACAATGAGAAAAATCTGTCCCCATGCATAAACTCAAAACAGTTTTTTATTTTATCATTATATTCATGGATTGGTTTATTATATTTACTGATATATGCTGTTCTACTTTGTGGTCAACAATGATTTTGCCAGTTTTTCACACAGCTTCTTGTCATTAATATTAATGTTATTGCATTAATGTTTATGCATATAATCCTACATATACATACATATATTCACATATTTGTCCAGTTCAAATAGCTGTACTGAAGTATGAGAGAGCTGAGTTGGCTGGCAGAGTTTCACTCTCTGCCATATCTCAGGATTACCATGCTTTAAATAAAAGCAGTACATCTTAACTGCTAAAATTCTTGTTGTGCACTTGTGCCAACCATGTTGCCATCTTGTGTGAACCAGGTCCAACATGGGGTTGGTTGGCAAGTTGTGGGTATTGTTGGCACAATGTTAAAAAGCTATAGTTTCAAAGAATAAAGCAACAAATAGAAATAATCTGAGCTTTTGATTTAAGCCAAAGCATTCAATGGCAACCAAAAAACATGTGAATCAATTAAATGTAAGGCACGTTTAATTTATTTTATCTTTGGTTTGTACTGAAGAACAGTAGCACTCTTGACAAAATGGACAAATGTTAGTTATGAGGGCAATGATCTTAATGTCACATTTTTGTCAGAGTTCCCGCTTTTGACAGCCAGCTCTATTCTTCAACTCACCAGACTTTTCTATTGACCTTTGGGGTAAGTTGAAACATTTGCACATGTGTCACTTTCAGCTGAATTATTTACAACATAATGTTTATGTTTTCATTTGTAGCGGAGATGTGTAGGTTCATTTTATTGAATATGATTTATCTCACTATATTGTTTAAAAATAAATTTAAAATATATTTAAAAATAAAAAATAATATAACATTTTAATAACATAATATTTTAAAAACTATTTAGCAAAAATCTAAATGTGTTAGGCTGTGTATGACTGGCACCACTCTTACCATCTTTCCTATACAGGGAGATCTCCACCTTCCTCTCCTCAGAGCCCAGGAGGGCCTTAGCCATCTGAGCCACAGCAGACCTCCCCGTGTGAGGCCCGTATAGGAAGCTGCAGGTACACGGCTTCTGCATGACCTCAGCACGTGTGTAGCCACACATATGACAGAAGCCATCATTGCAGAAGATGATGGCACAGTTCTCCACTCGTGCATTGGCGATGATGAATTTACGATCTGTTGAGGGATTAAAGCTATAGATTACATTCCATCCTGGAAATACCTTCACAGATGACAACAAAACAGTAGCATTTAGAAATGACGGAAAAGCAAAAATATATACAACCCATTTCCAAAAAAGTTGGGGCGCTGTGCAGAATGTAAATAAAAATAGAATGCAATGATGTGCAATTCATTTAAACCCTTTTTTAAAGGAAAATACTACAGGGACAACATATCAAAAGTTGAAACTGAAAAAACTTATTTTTTTATGTTTTTATGTTTTTTTTTAAAATATATGCCCACTTTGAAGTTGATGCCAACAACACGTTCCAAAAAAGTTGGGACGGGGACATGTTTACCACTGTGTTTCATCACCTCTTCTTTTAACAACACTCTGTAAGCGTTTGGAAACTGAGGAGACAAGTTGCTGTAGTTTTGAAAGTGAAATGTTTTCTCATTCTTGTTTGATATAGGATTTCAGCTGCTCAACAGTTCGGGTCTCCTTTGTCATATCTTTCATTTCATAATGCACCAAATGTTATCAGTGACGACCAGTCTGGACTGCAGGCAGGTCAGTTTAGCGCCTGGACACTTTTAATACAGAGCAATGCTGTTGTAATACATGCATTTTTCCACAAACAATAGAATTTCACAGTTTTTGATATGTTGTCTTTGTACTATTTTGTACTATTTTCAATGACATATAGGGTTTAAATGATTTGCACATCATTGCATTTTGTTTTTATTTATATTTTGCACAGCGTCCCAACTTTTTTGGAAATGGGCTTGTAGTAGCAGACAGGACACAGAGAACTTCACTGATTTCTCCGTAAAATTTCTGCATAATTTAATTGCTGAGAATTCATTCATTCATTCATGAATTCGTTCAGAGTGGTTTAATGTGAAATGATGCATTGTAGAAAAATGTACCAACACATTCAGTGGTGATGATGAGAACCAGGGGTCGCAATGTCTACAACACAAACATAGCCGGTTTATTTACCATCCAAAATGGAAAGTGACCAGTTTTTATGTGTAATCTTGATAATGGTAAAATAGAGGTAAATCTGATATAATGCATTACCTCTGGGTGCTTTTTTACCCTACAGCACATACAATGCATGTATCTATCTGCCATGAATGGATGACCTAAAATAAGTTTTAGGCCAAAACCATATCACAAACAATGCCTTGGGCAGGGTATTCAAAACCATTGCATGTAATAATTTTATGTGAGGTAGCTTTCAGAGATATTAAACACCGCTGATGTCTGGGTCCTATCACAGTCACTGTGAACAGTTATGACTCCAGAACAGAGCATTTCACATCACAACCATTCTATAGAACCAAAAAGGTCCTTCTATTGTTACAAGCTTAACATCATAACAATGGTTCTATACAGACCTATATAAAACACATTCTCCATCTCTCTGAAGAACTATTTTAAAATAGAAAGAACTATTTAAGCATGAAATGGTTTAATATAGGACTCTAAACAGAACCATTCCCTTTACTAAAGAACCTTGAAGAACCATATTTTTAAGAGTGTAGTTTTGGACTAAATTTCAGTGGTGGATCACCATAGGAAATCCTTGAAATGTTCAGTTCAATAAACTTATCAGTAAAACTTTATGATGATGATGATGATGATGTTGATGATGATGATGATGATGATGATGATGGTGATAAAGATGAGGATAAAGGTTGTGGCGATGATGTGGCTGTTTGTACCAGACAGTAGCGGTAATAGCTGTAGTTATTCTCTTACTTTGTCCCTCGAATTTCCGGATGATTGTGTCTAGGAAAGTGTTCTGGGGGGCGACGTGTCCCCTCCTCACCGGCATGATTCTCCTTTAGAACACGCGGAACTCCTTTAGCTGTCAGTTGGCGAGATTCCCGGCTTTATTCCGGCTGAAGTTTCTTGCGAGGTTCAGTTTCTCTCCCTGCTCGACTCACTCCATCCTGAGCGGCTGTGTGAGTGTGAGGCGCTGAGAGCTGAACCTCCATCTGAGCCTCAGCGCTCCGCTCTCTGCTCCCTGTCCGCTCTGACGCGCTGAGTGTGAGAGGAGGGCTAACACGTGGCTGCGTGTGTGGATGGAGTGGAGAGATGGGAGGGTGAAGTTCCTTAATCCGGCAAGTTTTCAGCGAACATTCAGCTTCAGCTCTCAGTTTTCAGCGCGGCCAAACAGGACACATCAGTGAGATCAGACTTCTTGTAGAGACTTCGTAAAACAGGCGAGGCTGAAGTTTCTTCCTGTTCGTCAGCCTCTTGTTCGAACTTCCCCGCTCCACCTTAAATGGTGCAGCGCCTGAACGGAACAGCTGCACATTGAAGGTAGAGCGGAAAAAATCGATTAAGAAACTTCAGCTTCGTGTAAAACAGTCTCTGATTTCTTCTTCGTTCTGTTTTACAAACTTTAAAAATGTTAGGCACTTCATCTCCTCATATCAGAGTCTTACAGTGGATCAAAGAAAAAGCTCCCATAGCACCAAACACTGCCACACAGCCGTATTCAGAAGTCCGAACAGTTTAAAGGCAAATTACATCCCTGCTGAAAAAACCTATAAAAACTATGAAGTGTTTCTGTTGGTCCCTGATGGTTTTGTAATGTGTTTGGCTTTTTAAATGGGTTGATATCACAATGTAAAGGATCCTAGTGGTTTAACAGGTAGCTAATGGCTGATTCTAAATGCCTTGATGGTTTCCTAATGGGATCTAAAGGTGTTCTACAGTAAAGTAGTGGTATCTATTGGAAACCATTAAGCCAATTCGCATTACAAAAGCAAAACCATTAGGTTTTAATCCTAATACCTTCTAATAGTCCTTTTTCAGCAGGGATGTTTTGTTGATTTTCTAAGTGAAAATATGTGACCACATCCTCTACACTGTTAGACATAAAGGTTCTGTGCAGGTACATTTATCGTTCATCAAGGTACAAACAGTGTAAATGCTCAAAGGTACAACAGTGGTTTTAAGGTCCAAATGTATACCTTAAATAAGTGTTTTCCCAGGGAAAAAGTACATATTTGTACTGTTTCATAACCTAATGTTTATAAAATAAAAAGGCTGGAGACGAGACGGGGTGTGTGGAGTCAATACAGCTTAGAAAATATCATTTCAATGGAGGGTACCACCCAAGAAATGTCATGTTTAAGTGTGTTCTCTGTAGAGAATAACTTCACTTATTTTTACTTAAAAAAAACTACAGAACATTTGACCAGGAGTGTTCAGACTCTATAGTCACCACCTGATATCAGAAATAGAAAATGGCTTGAAGATACGAAGTAGCTTTATTAGGGAATTTCTTTAGAAAGCTCAGTCATCTCTGCCATTTCTTTAATAATATCTTGTGCTCTTAGCTTTAAAAGGCTACTTTTCCTAAGGATTTCACACATTTCCTGTAAGTTGTGTGGTACTTGTCTTTTCATCACCAGTTTAAACTGAATAAAACAGTTTAAAGGAAAATCCACCAAATGTTTCAAATTTCTGTATAATTCAATTGCTGAGATGTAGAATCATACAAAGTGGTTCACTGTAGAGAAACTTGCTGACTGATTTTTTTTCTTTACAGCAGTGGTGATAAAACCACGGGTCATAATGTCTACAATGCAAATATACACATTTTATTTGCTGACCAAAATGACCAGTGAACCTAAACATGTCTTCTGAGTTTTTATGTGATGTTGATAATGGTAAAATAGTAGCAATTCAAATAATAATAATAATAATAATAATAATATACTTCATATTTATATCTTATTATATCTTATATCTATATATTATATCTTCAGTATGAATGGAGTTTAAAAATGTGTTTTAAGCCAAAATCTTCTCAAAAAATCATAAAGCAATGTCTCAGGCATCAGGCAGTGTATTCACAATCATTTCATATATAACCTTATATAAAGGATCGTTTAGAGCTGTTAAACTCTTTGGATGTCTGGTTCCTATCATCACTGCTGTGAAGAGTATTTCATATCAAACCACTCTGAATGACTTTGTTTACATCTTAATATTTGAAATATGGTGAGTAATAAAAAGAGGCACCAGATTTTACTCTGGAATTCTTTACTACTTCACTGTATAAATAGCTTCTCTGTAAAAGCTTACAGATGTATTTAGCATAGTTCTACCATCGTGAAAAAGCTGTATAGCAAAGAACAGAAACCTCAGAATCACAGAATAGTATGACCTAGTCTAGCCTCTTATGTTCAGGTGTTTATTCTTTTTGATGGCAGTTCTGCTGTGAGATCTGAATGACTAAATAAAATAAGAGATGTAGGCTTTTTTAATTGCAGCCTACCCAGCCTAAATTTTTTTGTGTCTTTTATTCAGTCATATTAAATTGATGTCCAAATTTGATCACCACATTTTAATTAAATGGTTAACTTTTTGATAACTTTCTTCATGATGGTATACAGATTTGTCAAATATGGGATCATCTATGGGTCTGTTCATCGTCTTAATTTTTGCAGCATCCTAATTTGAAGTATAAAAGTGAGTAATGATATCTCACAAAATTCATACCTGTTACATAGACACAGACTCTGAACTGACTGAAATTAACCATTTAATAATGTGAACTAATCACAAATAGACACTGTGGTTAAAGTAGCAAAAACATGTCAGATAACATATAACACAAACTTAACTTAAAGAGCTCTGATAAAATAATGAAAATAAATAAATGAAAAATGAGCTAATCAACAGAAATTAACAAAATAGAGTGATGGGAAAATCATTCTGATGCATTTTTGAAACTTATCATTTTGAGTAACTACAATCTACAAAATCCGTTCTATCAACATTTGCAGTCAAAGAAATGAAAGAAATTTTGATTTTTGGTTGGTGGTATCTATGAAAACCCATTGCCATGTGTTGCCGCCAGGTAAAGGAGAAAATGTGTTTTTTGTTTCCTTCTCTGTTTCTGGCAGTATTATGTCAAAAGATACAAAGTATCTTGAAACATTAACTTATCTTGAAATTATGACACATGTTCTCAAAATTCTGAGTTATTAAGACAAAATTCTGACATGCTATGTTGAAATAATAAGTAAATTAAAAAAAGCAAGCAATTATTTCGAGACACTAAGTCATTATTTCCACATAGTAAGTTATTATTGTGAGAAAAGAAGTCATTACTTCAACATAGTAAGTCATTATTTCAAGATAGAAAGTCAATATTTTGAGAAAACAACTCATTATTTCAACATAGTACATCATTATTTTGAGATAGTAAGTCATTCTGTTGACAAAGTCAATATTTTATTTTAAGTTATTCTTTTAAAAGTTTGTGTGGATATTAAATTCTTTAGTCATTTTCAAAAAAAGATTTCTAATGACTACAAGACTGTTTTAGTAAAGACAACATCAGTGTTTAAAGTGCATATTACTGTCATGTTTGACACATATTTATTTGGAGCATATATATTCGGTCTCAAAAAAGTCAGTACGGATATACATGCCATTATTTCAGATTCACACTGACAGCAGTCAGTTAGTACCCTTTCACAAAGCAGATATTGGGCCATTTCACACTCTTACTTAAAGTCTAAGCAGTGAGCAGCTTTATGTGCACATAAACACGATAAAAGAGGAATAACTACTGTGTTCTTAAAACCATTTAATGCATGGAGGAAGTGAGAAGTGAAAGTGCAGGGGGAGTCATTTTTTAGTCTTGGAGCTACTTCAACTGATCATCAACACACTAAACAAGCCACATACAGATTATGTAGGAACAAAGCAATATACATAAGTGTGTGTGGTAGTGCAAACAACAGAAATTTACATCATGTATGAGATTGAAATTGTGGTGCACAATAGTCAGAGACTAAGGCAGAGTGTAATAACTATCTGGAGAAAGAAAGAAAATCATCCTTACTGATTATGACTTATAACTGTATCATGTTTATTATTAAACAGCATATTTAATCTTATTTACAACAAAGATTAAAAATGACTCATTTTTAACCTGTAACATTTTTGCCTAATTAACAAATGATGATCTAAATGAGGAATGATGTGTTTCCTCTCTTAGCCTGTAGAGGGCAACATTTAGAACAGTGATCACCAACTATTCTCCTGCAGATCTGCCTTCCTGCAGACTTTGGCTGCAGCACTAATTGACCCTGCCTGATGTATCTAATTATTGCCTTCAGAGGTCCTTGATTAGCTGAATGAGGTGTATTAAGTTTAAGTTTGGAGGGAAAACCTACAGAAAGGTAGATGTCCAGGAGCGGGGTTTTCAGCTGCTTTAGAACGTAATAGTGTCCCTATTACAAGAGAATAACTGAAGCTTGAATGATCAATAAATAGGTTATCTAACCCTACAATGGTTACTGTATAACAATTTGCTTTTTGGGCAGTAACTGCACAGATTTTTTCTCTGTTGATTCCTGTGATTTAGCAGGTGTCACAACTCTTTTCCCATTCAAGTCAGTATCAGGGCTATTATTGTCACTTATATTAGCAATTATCAATAATTTAGTTCAGGTATTTATAATGATTAATCAAGCAATTAGGCTTTTAAAGAAAGGCCAAACAATTAAGATAGACTTAACAACATGCATGGTCTTTCTTTTATAAATTTCCAAAAAAGATAACAAAGAAGCCTTTAAAAAGTATTTGTAATGCATATAAATGAATCTCAAATCAAGTCAAATCAAATACGTTTATTGTCAAATCACATTTACACAGGTGAGGCGAAGGTGAGTGAAAATTTAAGCATGTGGCGCCCTTTTGTAGTACTTAAATACAAGAATATCTCTCTCTCTCTCTCTCTCTCTCTCTCTCTCTCTCTCTATATATATATATATATATATATATATATATATATATATATATGGATAGATAGATATATAGATATATAATATACTGTAAGAGAGAGAAGTGAGAGAATTTCAAATATGCAGTGTAGTCAACTAATTATTGCCAATTTATCAAGAAGGTACATTTCTCTAGATTTTTAAATTGAGTAATTGTGACAGTTCTGGTTATTAATAATTGGTCATTTCAGTGTCTAACTGGACTGTCCAGTGGTTATACCACTCCATTAGTTTCTGTGTTGCCTTCGTGAGAATTTCCTTTGTGTCAAACGGTGCCATGCTGCATATCTTATCAGCAGCCATCCTCCTGTGACTGCATTTATAGTTCTGTTATCAGTGTGCACACCCTCACAGCCACAGGGCAGAATGACAGTGTACTGTGGCACATGTTCATTTCCAGCAATTTCTAGAGGGTTCAGACGTTCTTCAGGTGAACGTTTCTTCTTCGCTGTTATATTCTAGCATGGAACACAGGGGCTGTTTGTGGAAAAGAAGCTCAGCAGTGGGAGGAAGCTGTTCGAGTGAAGGGGAAACAGTTATTTACCAGTCTATTCCCCAGCGTTACTGATTGATAGGTGTATTGTTTTCCCAAACTGTGTGTGTGTGTATGTGTGTGTGTGTGTGTGAGAGAGAGAGAGAGAAAGAGAGAGTACTTGGGTGGGGGTGGTGTCAAGAATGTGCTGTCCTTTGTTGTGGTCAGTGTTGACTTTTGTACCCTCTCAGACATCACACCACAAGCCACCAACTCCCTCTCAGTCCTGTCTCTCAATCCTCTCAGGTATAATAGGCATGCCGTTAACAGAAGCAGGAAACGCCACCCCAGGCACTGTGTTTGAAGCATCAAGGTTAAAATATAACAGGACACGGCTGGATTTGCCTGTTCACTTCAGTGCCTACATGCTCAGAACAACATGTAACACTGGGGTGAGCAAATCATTAGACCGAAAGCAACATTATCAATGGTGGGACAGAGCGATGCAGTTATGTAAAGAAAACAGACATGCTAGTTTGCTGTTTTACATCTAAATTTAGCTGGAATATATTACATTTGAATCTGTGGCCCTGTTTCTGGCACTGTTTTGACCGTTTTCTCCTCACCCCAAAAATAGTTGATCAGGAATGACATGTTATGCTTCTTTAGGTTTCTACAGGAGCTAAGATGCTAATGAAGCTAACAAGTAATGGAAAATTGTAGCCATTAGTTTAGCAAACAGCATGCCTGAATCTTCACGCATCTGCTTCAAATTGTGTTGGATTGTTAAGTAATCTCAATTAGAGATGTTATGTCTATGGTTTCTGACACTGATATCTTTATAAATAGTCTATAGATAAACATAAACAGCCGCTATCTTAAAACTTTTGTCTGTAATTTTATCCAGTGTCAGAAACCTAAGCAAGTCTATTTGAGATTGCTCAACAACTCTATGTGGTTGGAGGAAAAGTGTGTGATGATTTAGAGTGGACTGCTGGCTGTTCTATTTCATTACTTGTTAGCTTTATTAGCCTCGCAGCTACTGTGAAACCTAAAGAAGATACTAAACAGGTTTTGGCTGATGGTCTACATTGGGAATAATGGGTGATAACTTCCACTTTATATGTGCAGTTTTACATTTAAATATAGCAACAGTATACTGTTTTCAATGGATTTTCTAGTGAAACTCTGTTTCTAACATTGTTAGTTTTACACACCTAAAAATAAAGGTTCTCAAATGGTTTTTGGTTGGATTGTTCTAGGACAAAAACTTTAGCTCTGGAGGGGCCAAAATGCAATGTGTGTGGAGCCGGCGGCCAAAAAGAACAAAACAAAGTACAAATAAAAAGGCAGATTGCATTTTAACAATTCATTTTATAAGATTATGCTATATTTTGTTACTAAAGTACAACATAAGTCAAGTATCTCCTTTCTTTTGGATTTTTTATTTTTCTATCATTTAAGCTCAGCAGCTGCCTTTTACACTGAGTGAAACTTTCATGCTCCAAAATGGTTTGGAATAAAACTTCTATTAAAATTAAAGAATGTTTTTGTTTTCACTTGTAAATGTGCCATTGTGGAGATACTTTTGGTAACACTTTATTTGGAGTGGTCCTTTGTAGATGATTAATAAACTCATAATAGAGTATCAGTAACACATTAAGAACATATCAGTGAAGTAGCAGTGGTGAAGCATCTGAATACAGTGAAGTAAATATCTTGTAGATGTACTGTTGATACATTACTTACGTTAAGTAGATGTATTGTTAATATGTTGTTGTCATTACACAAAACTTAACCTTACCCAAAACCTAACCATATCCCTCATATGTTGTTGACATTTTACTGAGAGTCTATTGAGTATTTCATCTAAAAGGGCCACTCAAGATAAAGTGTGACCATGCTATTTCATTGTTTTGTTGTGTTTTGGACAGTGATGATACGTTTATTCTCTTGCTTGGTGGGGTTAAGGTTACTTTCTGGTGGGCCAATTCTGGCTCACAGGCCACATTTTATTAGCCCTGATATAGAACCTTTACATTATTTGGAGGTTCTTTAAACTTTATAAAAGTTCTTCACACTCACACTCATGTACAAAAATACATCTTCAAAGAACCACAATGAAAAGTTCTTTAGGGAAAAGCTGTTCTTTTATAGCATGACTCCAGAGCACTTTTTGGCACCTTTATATTTTACAACTGTACTGTCCCACCACTAGGGGATAGCACGGTTGAGAGTGAGCGCCATTCTCTGCCCCTCTGCTTGGGAGTGTCAGGCAGTTGCCCAGAGGGATGGACAAGGAGGGAGGAGTTGTGCAGTGTTCCTTATTTGGTAGAACAGATCACATGGGTCCCGGTAGTGGTAAGGTAGCAGGGGGAGGGAGAGGGAGAGAACTTAAAAAACTTTTGTGAGGAGATCTAGGAGGGAGGGGGCGTGTTTGTGAATGTGTGTGAGAGAGAAACAAGGAGAGGAGCGATCTCACACACATAAGGAGCACATGTGGTGAAAGAAAATGCCCACCAACTTCACAGTGGTGCCGGTGGAAGATGGTCAAACTTCAAGTCCAGACTCTGACGATAAACATTCTGGAGGAGAAGATGAGGAGAAGCCCGGGCTTTACTCAGGTAAGTGTTATTTGGAAAACTTCCTTTTTCCTGTGAGTGTGAGAACCAGCCCAGACACGCACCGCCACTCCACACGGAAGAGTCCTCTTTGTCTGAGCCATGACTCACATTCACAGGCTGGCGCGTCCTGTAGATCTCCGCTTCTCTCCTTCATGTTAGTCTGAATTTGAGAAGCAAAATCCTATTTTACAGTGTCTCAACACACAAATGGCAGTAAACACGTAGGGATTTCCTGGACTGCCCTCTCTCATTTTCCTGTTTCTCTCTTATCTCTCTCTCCCTCACTCTTTCCTTCCTTCCCTCTCTACTTCTCTCTTGCGTGTGTTGGAACCGCAAAGTACTGCAGACGTAAATGAAACCTCAGGCTATAGAAACCTGCTGTATTCTGCTTTGAACAGCAAGTTAGGCTCAATCTGGGTTCCGATCTTTATTATCATACAGGGATAAGCCTTAATGTTGTTAAATTGCAGCTCAGGCCTCATTCTGTCATTGTAACACAGTCTATTATTGCTCACTTGCTGACACGGTATCAGTACGTGTTGTATAACCTTGGAGGTTCATGCTTTAAAGTGGAAAACTACTTAACATCTGTACTCTGATATATGCAATCTGTCATCAGCCTTTCTCTTTGAGACTTTCTCAGCAGCAGAGTAACTGGGCTGAGATGTTAAAATTTAAGGCACTAAATTCCAGCAAGTTTTTTGTTTGTGTTTGTGTTTTCCTTCATATCTCTCTAATCTGCTGGAGTAAACAGTGACCATAATGAGAGCTCATGATTGCATGCTTTACAGAGACAAAGTAAAAGGTTATAAACAGTTATGTTTTATGAATAATTTTAGAAGCCGTGTGCTGTATTAGCCTTTAATAAGACTTGATTCATAAGACATGAAACAAATTTGCCTTTATTTGTTTGTAGTTCCCTTGATTCTTCATCAGCTTGGTGTACAGTGTATTTAGCACTATTTGTGAGACTGAAGAGGCATGTGGCTGTTGAAGAGTAGAGACACTAGTGCACTGTGTTTATCTCACTAGTGTGTAATGACTGTTTACGGAGTCTTTCGCTTGATGGCTAGTTTGTGTGTGTGATAGGAAACGTTTCTTTCTGAAGCAAGATCAGATGACTCCAAGAAAAGTGCCTCAATAAGAGATTTCAGGAATGTTATGAGTAATTAGTCCGTCATTTTGGGAAAACGTACAGTGAGTAATAATGGCTATATTGTTACTGTCCAAAAAAGAGAAGCATCTCCAAAACGTTCTTTACTTTTAACGTAACTATTTCTATTGGCCGATTCGTTCTGATATTTTCACACAATGTAAATATCGGCCCAGCTTAAATTTTATAGAAAAAGAAAAAAGAAAAAAAAAGATTTTGGACAGCAGTGATATAAGTGAATAAATGACAGCTGTTGCAGAAGTTGTCATTTGCAATTCTCAGTCCATTATTTAAAATACTATTGAGCACATTTGTGATCACATAGATTTTAAACACCCCAGTCAAATGACATACTCTGCAGGAAACAAACTTAATTATGGCATTTTAACCCATTTTTAGTGCACTAATTCTTTTTATTTGCTTTTTATTTATTTCTTTCTTTTATGAGTTTAATCTATTAATATAAAATATAAAATGTGCCATAACTTTTTAACAGACCACGTTTTGCTTTTATTATTTTTCTAATGTGTTAAATTCAGCTAATAAACAACAATTGTTCATTAAAATGTGCAGAAATGTGTTCTCTGTAGAGGATTTGTTAACTTATTTTCAGCTAGAAATTCAATAAAAGTAAAGTAATTTTACCCAGATGCCCAAACTTTTGCATATGACTATGTATTTTCCTATTTTCTCAACTTTTACAGTGTGATTTTGACAGTGCTTGTATTTGTAAGCGTGATTATTTGTCATATTCTTGAAGCTTGGTGTTTTGAATGGTAGGGGTTTACTTGAGGAATCATGTAAGTGCCTAATGAACTGTGCACAGTGGTTTGAGGAATGTGTGTAATTTAAATAATGCTTGTAGTTTACTAGAAACGCATTTGTCTTGAAAGTGAGGTTGCAAACACAGTTACCCTGAAAAACTGTAACCTAAGCAGTTGAAGAAGTTGTAGCGTTTGAAGAAGTTTTACAGCTGCGCTACAGGAGGAAAGTAACCAAACTATTCAGACTGACATGAGAAACTATTTACTGAGGAATAAGGCTTCCAAAGTGGCGAGACTCATGTAAAGGAGTCACTAACCAATGCCCCTAGACTGGACACCAAGACTCTTCATACCTCTGTCTCCAGTGTTCTGATCACAAGGACGGCGAGACTTACAGCCCTGGCATTCCCATGCGTCTCGAATACTCCAGTGACTACATGTGATCGGGTTTCGTGACTAGAGGAAGGGTGCCGCGCACATTTACTATGTCAGTCTCTTGCTGCTTTTGTGGTCAGACAAAAATGTGCCGTGAATCGTTATTTGTGTGCATGTATGGGCTGTTCACATTTTTTATATCGCATGAGTTGCTTTAACAACTACTGAGCCAACAGGACTGGGTTTCCTGAAAGCATATTAGTGCAAAATGATTCTTAAATGATAGAGTGAGCATCACACTGAACACTCTCTCTACCAGTTAGGATGAGCTTAACACTGAGATGCTTTTGGGGAACTGGGTTTTACTGGGCCCAGTAGAGGAGGTGAAGAAAGTAGCTACACAAAGCTGCTGCTTTTGTTGGTAGTGTGATGATACAGTTGATTAGGTGGTCCTTTGTTGCTTTTGGGGATGCATCACAACACTTTATGTTATGTTGTTCACAAATGTTATGCGGTCATATGTGTAACTGACCACCTCTGAAGGTGGTTTGAGTGATCGGCTCACATTTCATCTCCAAGACGCATTGGACTGCTTTCACACCTGTACTTAGCACTGTCCACTCCAATTCATCCAAGACGCATGTTAATACCAGGGGCGAATGGCTCAAGATGACACCCATATGCCAGGGATGGACAATGTTGTCACAATAACTCATATTACATTATGCTTTCGTGAGCACATCAGATAATGTGGGAATGCATATGATTTGTAAACAAAAGCCAGTGGCATTACACGGTCCGATTTAAATTACACAAACAAAGTATAAAGAGCTGATTAGATGGTAACCATTGTATGAATATCTTAGTTTATCTTGTTTGATTTTTTCCTCCTGTTTCTTATGAATCTCTATTAAATAAAAATGAAAAATTTCTATTCGTGTATTTATTTATCTATTTTTATTTCATCTACAAATCTGTGTAGTTTTTCAGTGTTCGCTGTTTTTCTGGCACCCCATGTCTGTTCCAACTTGTTGCACATCTAATATTCTGATATGTATTGTGTTTCAAGGAGTTTTTAAATACTCCACCCTTGCCATATGGCAGACAACCGTTTAGAGTCTGGTGACATGGTGCCAAACATACATAGCAGCATAAATAGCATTTTACACAGCACTTTTTTTACTTAAGGGAGCATTTGAATTTTTTTTATTGTGACTTGATTCAGCCACTGTTCTTACCAAAGACAAAGAGGAATATCACCAACCATTCAAAAGTGGTTACATGTTTGTGTCAAGTGACCCAGGACAATACACCAGTCTCAGCAGACAATAACTAGGCCTATCACCTGTCCCAGCAGACCTTTGATCAGTTAGTGGGGGAGGGTTTTCAGCTGGCACTCTTCTGTTCATTCTTTGGCTCCAGAGGTGTGAAGTTTCTGCAGTGTTCATAGTCGTTTTTCAGAGCACAGTTGACACACGTTAAGCTTTATACTCTGCCACTGGGTGCGTTTACATGCACTTTTCAGTAGCTATCTGATTATTCAGGTGGTCATGTAAACAGCATACTCTGTTTTTTTACACTGGATTAAGGCATAGAAATCCGATTCGATAAAGAGAGCAGGATTTTAGCTTAATAATCAGGTCTTTCAACACATGTGTACCCTTACTCTGATTTTTTTCATTTTTCCTCATAATGCCAGCAGTGTTTAACACAGCACCTGTGGACTGGCAACAGAACACTTTTGGAATGATGCTGAAACCAACAACATGCTTGACGAAATGAAGAATTTAAAAATTCTTTATCCTGTAGATGATGTGTATTTATATTTTCCACTAAAGCGATTCAGTGTCTAAAAAAAAGAGTTTTACGTAACATTTACATGAGGTCTTCCTATTTGATTTTCTTGTCTGGCTGCAAGAAAGACTCCTGTACTCGGCTGAAATATTTCAACTGACAAAACAGTGGTTTAATGACTTTAGTTGATCAAATGCTTCAAGGTGTTTTGACTGAGCACACATACCAGAGCTGTGTGGGTCTGTCTGCTGTTGGTTTCAGCCATTGTTCTTGTCTTTAGTGTCTGACTTTGGGGTCAGTAGGCATAAACCATCATAGAAACTCTGTGGATATCTGAGACCTCAAAAGTTTACAGAAGGATTCATAAGGAATTCTTGAACTGGCATCAACTGTCACTTTGACAGCTTAAATGAAAACACTGGTGAACTTAGCAGTTGGAAGTGGTTGGCTAAGGAAAGCATGTGTGAACAGAAAAGTGAGAGAAGAAAAAACATAAAACCTTCTTCCGGGTTATTGTAATCTACCATTCACAGAAGACTGGAGAGGAAAAGAATTGATGATGCAAACAGTACCTCAGCTAAGAAACATGCAGGACAGCCTCTGGATGATGATGACACATTTCAGAAATGTGCAGAACTGGTGTACATTTTCTTCCATTGAATGATCCACTGCCTACATTTTCTACTAACGTCAAACTACTTAATTAGGCAAGCATGTGTTTCACTTAGAAATGGCCCATTCGTAACAATGGGTATTGGCAGAAAATGTTGGATTGTACATCAGAGGAAAAAAGAGGGAATTCCATATGATCCTGATCCAGAAAAGAAAAAACTGTATAGTTTCACTTAATGGATTGTCTAAAGACACTCAACACCAACAGTTAAACTGCTGCTAGAAAGGCTTGGCAAAACATCTCTAATGAAGATGGAAGACAGATTCTGTTATTTGGTTGGCAATGTAACTGATACAACGTTGTTACTGTGTGGATAACAAAGTCAATATCAATGTTTGTTTTGTACATTCATGACATGCTGAGACTGAGGTAGGACCTGCCCTCCAGATATGAAAGAGCTGTTGTTAGTTGTCATTTCCCTGGCTTGCTGAAAGGTGTTATCAAAGATGGTTTCCTGGAAATTTCTAGCTCTTTAAATGGTGCACTTCTTTAAAAGTTAATTTAATAGTTCTGATTAGACGAGTCTTACCTTGACATATGTAGCAGGGATTTTCAAAAAAATGTTTTATAAGAAATAACCCATGAAAAAAAAAGGTTCTTCAGTGTAAAAGTATGGTTAAGAGTTTTGTTTTCTTCCTCTCAGTGATATTCTGTAAGTTTAGTACAATGACTAAATACAACCATAAAGAAATGAAAAAAATAAAAAGACGACTACTGCTGACTGCTGTACATAGTCTGTGTTGTTTTTAGGGTGACGTGTTTTTGATGACCAGAAGGGTGGTACCGGTGGTTAGAAGGGTGGGGCAGCTGAGCACTAATGGGTGTTACTGGAGGGAGAGTGGCAAGCACATGTTGGAGGAGTTAAAATGTCTGGACATCTCCAGGGACCTGGTTGCTTTAATATGAGTAGTGTTTCAGGGTTTATATAAGAAATGTTAAAAGGCCCATATGCTGTATTTTCCATGTATTTTAGTTTTTCCCTTATACATTTTTACAAGACCACATTCCAACCTCTCTTTACACCTTAGAATTAAACAAGCTGGTTTTGTTAATGTGCCTTTAAGGCTGGTCTTGGTAAATGAACTCTCCTCTGATTGGCTGCACTGTACTGTACCTCATTTAAAATGCAGTCCAGGCTGAAACATTACCTATAACTTCATAACTTAAGTGGGTGGGACTAAACTGCTGTAGGCTGAATAGGGTGATGTAGATGTGGTGATGTAGTCTGTAGATGTGGAGAAATTTCATGATGACTTATCCTTGTGCATGTCCAGTCATGCAGGGTAAGCTCTGGAGTTAGCTCATTCATCATTACTGATGACGTAACTAAACACTCCTTTGACTTCAATAGTTTACGTAAAGAGAGGTGAGGCCTGAGAATAACAAGAAACTGCAGGAGCAGAGGAGAGGTGGAGGAAGTGTCTAATAACAGGCTCAGAGGCAATTACAGGGTCCATATGAAGGGTTTCAGAGAGTGCAGTGGAGTACAAGAGAGGAAGTCGGGGAGGAGGCACAAAAAGTAATATGCACTAGGGGTGGGAGGAGCCTGTAGAGTGTGTGTAAACAAGATGCAGTGTACAGCAAGAGCATAAACAGCATAGAAACAGGTAGCTAAGACTGCATATTAACCCATCCTGATTTATTCATTTATTTTTAAGAACTGCTTAGTTTTTTTCCCACTGTTTATTCTTAATTTTTTTCATGTAACACAACAATCACAACAAAAACATAGCTTTTTGTAGTCAATTGTTGGCTTTGGCCTACAGTAGCACTGTGGAATAGGGTAGAGTCATGACTGAGAGGGCTGCACAATGACTGCCTCCAAGAGCATCTCTCTCATCCAGTCACAGGAGAACATGCATGGCAGGGATGTGGGGCGGGGGTCTTCAAATTAAAACAGTTAAGCAAGTTTTATTGAGTTTCTGCTGTTGGAGAACTGTAAATGCCACAACCAGTGGGGCCTTTTGTTGTTGTTTATGGGACTGTTTGTCTTCACTGATTATGCCATGCACTGTGTATAGTTCGCTTCATTATAAACATGTTTTTTAAGCATGTCCCAATAAACTCTCACCTTCAGCTTCAGTCATACACAAGAACAGTAGGCTGTTCACAGGTTTTGTGCTGTTATAAATGGCTCCCATTCACACTTAGTGACATACAGTACTGTGCAAAAATCTGACTATTTGCCATTTATTTAATTTCCAGAATTTTTCACACCATGCAACACCTGGTAGAGCACCAAATCTGTTACTATCTGAACCTTTTCTCTTTGAGAGATTGGAAGAAAACTCCATTCTTTCTACAGATCTGAAAAAATCCACAGGTGTTTTTGTCCATCCTTCCACTGTGGGAAGATGACTTAACACTATGAGTCTCAAGGGATATGTAGCTGTCAAGAAGCCGTTACTGAGAAAAGGAAATAGACAAAAAAGAAAAAAATTTGATAGATGCTGGTGTTGGACAATGGACTGACCACCTTAGAACCCAGACCTCACCATCACTGAATGTGTTTGGGATTATTTGGAATGTGAGAAGCAGAAAATGAAACTAACTTCTAAAACTGAACTTTGGAGGTGTCATAAAATATACCTGAAGGTAAAAACTGAAAGCAAGTCTCCTGGACAAATTAAAAAGCTGTAATAAAGACAAAGTGTGGACACTCCCTAGAGTCCCTATACAGCAAAAAATATTCTTAGTTTTTGGAGGCTTGTGCTTTTTTCTTGATGCTGGAAAAATGAATAACTTACCCTTTATGGCTGTTTTAATTGGAAACTAAATAAATGAAGGGTGCTCTCTGACATCTGCACAGCATTGTAGGGTCTGTACTGCTGCACATTATCCTGAGGAGGTATCTGAGCATATATAGTTTGTCAGTGTTAAGAGCCCATGAAACTAACTGCTCCAGCCTCTTATTACAACAGCTTGGCCCGGTTATGCTCTAGTTTGCACTCTTTTACTACATCATACAAGGTCTTATATTCTACATTATGAAGCAGTGTTTTTGTATGAGTAACTTCAACCCAGATAAAAGATTTTAGATAAAAAATTTGTACAATGTCATGGAAAACGGTAGAATGCATGATAAGTGGGGTGTGGTTTTGAAGGATCAGGGGCCACTTTGGTTGTGTAATTTTGTTTCATTCTTCCACTCCTCCCCCTGGGCAAGTGGGAGAGGACAGCTTATAGCTATGCAGGACTGTCATAGAACTGAGTGAATACATAATTGGCTTTCGTCTCAGTACTGTATACTTTGGAGTTAGTGCAGAGGTCACAGCTGATATGTGCTATTCACTCATGTAGTTACAAGCAGTCATGTGATCAACTAGCCCATATATTTGAGTACTGTATTCAGCACAGACACGCTTTGCACATATTTTTCCATCAGCAGAAAAGACTAATTTGCTCATTTCTTTCTGTACTGCTCTGAATTTTACTGTGCTAGGTAATAACTATGTAGATGAAGACGGCAAAAATGTTGTGCTACATTGTAGCTCAGCCAGGCCTTCATGCTACGTTGACTTAGTTGACGCGGGCCCGTGATGTAATATGAGAAACAGGTTTCTGGACTTATTGGTCTTTCCATCATCAGAAAAAAAGAGCTGACTCACACACAACAGCAAGAATTTACAGGTTATTAAGTGTCATGACATTCATATTCCTGCTGTGGTGTGAACAAAAAGGTCAAACAAGTAAAATATGAACTAATTTTAAAAGTAACTGTCAAAATATGTGTGTTAGCAGGTGATGAAACCCCTGGAGAGTACAGTCCCTTCCTCACCATTTCTGACCATGAGAGGAGCTGTGATGGGAATAATATGGCACTGTTCGAGGTAAGGATTAATGCTGATTAAAGTTTATTCAAGCACTGCAGAAATGTAATGTTGACTGCTAAAAGGTTCCATCATATTGTACAGTTAAATGCTTCTATGTTAAATTGGACACTAACTCCCAGTCAAAAGGTACACATGACTGAATGCTAAAGAGCAACTGACTAACAAACTGTCCCCGTATTTTTATGACAACGCATGCATGAACATGATGTAACCTTCATCATGACATCATATTTGTATGTACAAAAGGCACTTTCTTTTCTATTTTTTCTTTCATGGGCAGAATGTTAGGACTGGGGCATGATATTTCATCCCATATCACAGAATCTTATTTCAATACTTGAAGTGATTTTTTAGCTTGATTTTCAAACACAGACATACCTTTGTTAGTACTGTGTTGATCCTTGGTGTTTTTTATCAAAATGTTTACAGAAATGTTTTTAACATTAGTAATTTAATTTCACATGTCTTGTCTGCTCTTTCTCTACACTCAGGAAGAAATGGACAGCACTCCAATGGTGTCGGCCCTCCTCAACAAACTGGCCAATTACACCAACCTGACACAGGGGGTTGTTGATCATGAGAAAGCTGAGAGTGAGGATGGCGTTAAGAGGGTCGCCATCAAGGTCAGTATCAAACCATCACTCTGTGTTGCTGATGAAGGTCTTACTTGTGTGATATCCTACTAAAATCACCAATGAAAAGTACTGTAGCTTAATTGTTTAAATACAATATTCTATAACTAATAATAACACAATAACACAATATAATTGTCCAGAAACATGTCCTATGAATAACTTTTCAATGTCCAGTAAATAGCTGGTGTGTTGTGCCAAAGTTTTCCCTTTTGGTGTAAAGGCTGTTGTGGCTCCTCTCGCCCATATAACAAAACTGTGTTCTCCCTACAGTCTTCCTTTGTTTGAGTTGGAGAAACTTACCAAGTGAAAACTAAAAACTGAGCAAAAGCTAACCTGGCAAGCATGAGTTGTTAAGCTAGATCATCTGTCTGCCTGTTGTCCATCCATTTGTCCATTAATTTGTACATGTTTACATCCACCTGACTGTCATTTGTTTGTTTTTCCATCCTTCAGTCCATTTGTTTGTTCCACCAGCATGCCAGTATCCCTAGATGCATTAAAGTGAATGAGCGTCTTAGTGAGCTGTGGAGACCTGCATACGTTGAGCCCATTTCACTCTTTTCTCTCTGCTTCGTTCCCACTTTTGTGTTTAGTTCTACTTCAGTGTTGTAGCAGGAAGAGAGTGTTGGACTGAGGGATGTCAATCATGCATGCTTATTAGAATGTTAAGACCATGCTCAGACGGTCAAAAAGACACTCAATTTCATTATCATACAAACATTTTTAATATTGTACACTGTATTTTTCCTGGGACTGTAAGGTTAATGACAGTAATAAGCCTGCGTGGGCTTAAAGGGGTTAATCAGGAACTATTTTGATGGCACCTGAAGCCAAACTGGGGCCTGTTTATGCCTGAATTCCTGCTCTGTCTTCAGCCTCTGTTTATATTCACATTTTTCATCTGTTCCAAATTGCCTCGTGCTGTTCCACCTTGGAGCAATTAGGAACAGTTGCTCAATTCCAATTCTCTGTTACTTGTGTTTTCAGGGTCCTCAGATGGGCACGTTTATTGGTGTGTACCTGCCCTGTATGCAGAACATCTTGGGCGTGATTCTGTTCTTGCGTCTTACGTGGATCGTGGGCACAGCTGGAATCTTGGGTTCCTTCGCCATCGTCTTCATGTGCTGTGCCTGTGTGAGCGTTGTTAAGCACTATCTCATGTGATAAAGCTTTATTGTTTTAATGCCTGTAGTATGCCTTTGTCTCTCACTCTTACTCTATTAATTAGTATGTAAGTCCCTTTTTGAACCCTGTATCACTTCTGTGAATCCACTCTGTGCTCTGTCCTACAGACTCTGCTGACCGCAATATCAATGAGTGCCATTGCAACTAATGGTGTGGTACCAGGTATGTTTCTTTTGTGTGATGTTACAATTAATACAATTATACCACCCTACAACTCATTTTGTCCTTTCATGGTTTTAGATTTGGTTGTGCTCAGGGACATGTAGATTTAGTGATTTAAGGAATTTCTTTCTAAATTTCTTAAATTTGGTGTTTCTTTTTCAGCTGGTGGTTCATATTATATGATCTCAAGGTCTCTGGGTCCAGAGTTTGGAGGTGCTGTTGGCTTGTGTTTGTACTTGGGTACAACCTTTGCTGGATCCATGTATATACTGGGCACCATGGAGATCCTTTTGGTGAGTACATCCTTAGACACTGAATGAAAGCTTGCACATCTATGCTGTTATTATAATTCTGCTTATCTACAGTTTTCTTTAAAGATTAGGCTTAGTGTTTAGTATTCAAATATTGTTTTTTTCTGTCATTGTGGCATTGGAGCATTCAAGCCGGACATTTATTTTGCTGGCTGGCTCAATATGTGCTAAATTTGCACTTTAGCTCTAGAAAGTTAATGTGATATGACACACATTACATAACAAAGCCTTTAACTTTAACAAAACCAGTATGTCAAGAAGCCATTACTGAGATATAAACAAAAAGGACAGAAGAAGAAGAAAAAGGAGAAGAAGATTTGCAAATGGTGTTCTCAAAATAATAGGCTGACCATCCAGACCTCAGCATCATTGAATGAGTTTGGAATTACTTGTATCATGAGCAGAAAATACAACCAACTTCGAAGACTGGACTTTTGAGGTGTGAAAAAATATTCATGCAGATTTCTTTGACAAACCGAAAGCAAGTCAGCTGAAAAGAATGACTTAAAAATGTATAACGTAAGCACTTAATGGCAATTTAGACTGGAAATCAAATAAAGGAAGGGTGGTCTCTGAATTTTGGTCTGAGACTTATCCAATATTAAATTAAGTAGGATTCATTTACATTTTTTACATTAGCTGTTTTTATTGAAAAAAATCTGTATTAACTAGAATGTACAGCTCTGAGGTTGCAGCAGATGATGAGAGAAATAGCCAAATAAATTACATACATCTACTTGCAACATATTTGATTAAAGCAACAGTGAGGGCATGCATTGATACCAGGAGATATTGTATCATGTGTGTAATCTTCACGTCTGTTCTGTCTCATGTATAGCTGTACATAGTGCCAGAGGGAGCACTGTTTGCGGACAAAATGGATGAGCCAGCGTCTCGGCAGAATAACATGCGTGTTTATGGAACCTGCTGCTTGGCTCTCATGGCTCTGATGGTGTTTGTCGGTGTGAAGTATGTGAATAAACTGGCGCTGGTCTTCCTCTCCTGTGTGATTCTCTCCATTATGGCCGTTTATGCGGGAGTTATCAGAACTGTGATAGACCCTCCAGAGTTTCAGTGAGTAAACCACACACACAGGACTACACAACATCAAACGCAAATGTCATGATTTGCTCCTAAATTACTTAATGTTGCAAGAAGCAATTTATCTGTAATAAAGCAAAATTTTACATCGATTCAAGCCTCAAAAACTTCAATTTCTGAGCTGTTCCACTCTTTACAGTGAAATCTGTGTTTAAGCTAATGACTGCTGATCCTGTTACTGTTCTGTCCTACTGTACACTGTACACCTCAAGTCTCTAACCTGTTCTCATAACTAACATGTAGTAAATGCATCAATTGCTAGTTGACCACATTTAATTCCCAGGCTCTTTCTAGATAAACTTTGACAGACTTGCAACATCAGTCATACGTTTTCATTTGTTAATCTGAATGCCTCTTTTTAAGGGGATTTCTACTGATTTTTCAGAGTTCCTGCATAGTTAAATTTTTGAGATGTAAACAAAGTTATTTAGAGTGTATTGATAAGGATGGATAAGGGATTGTGTTAGGCAATGTCTACAACACAAATATAGCCATTTTATTTACTGTGTAAAACAACTAGTGAGCCTGCACATGTCTCCTGCGTTATTATATGTAATGTTGATAATGGTAAAATAGTATCCAATCTGAAAAAAACTTTGTTCAGGGACTGTTTTTGCCTTAGGATACCCTGCGTGTATTTATATAATTATATATTTATATATATATATATATATATATATATATATATATATATATATATATATATTATATATATATATATATATATATATATATGTATATGTGTGTGTGTGTGTGTATATATATATATATATATATATATATATATATATATATATATATATATATATATATATACACACACACACACATATATGTGTATATATACATATAAAAACAACAACAAAGCTTGATAAGGCTTCTTAGTCAGATGTCTAGTTCCTGTCACAACTACTGTGAACAATACTGGCTCTGTAGGTTTCTCTAGAATGGAGCATTTCCCATCAAACCACCACAAATGACTTTGCTTACATCTTAAACATTTAAACAAACATTTATGCAGAATTTTTAAAAAAATGGTGGATTTTGCATTTAACACTCACCTCATTCGTAATTTTCTTAACTCTGATTGTTATTGCTTGATTTTTGCCAGCCATTGTCAACCACAGAAAGATGCTTCCCCTTTGAGTCTTGGTTATCTTAGGGAGTTTTTCCTGACCACTCATGACCTCGGCTTCTTGTTCAGGGCTTTGGTGTGGATTTCTGTCAAGCTACTTTGTGATGAAGTGTACTGTATATATTAATTATGTTAATGTTTTTTGGATTATTCACCAGAGTGTGTTTGCTGGGCAACCGCACATTAAAAAATCTCAACTTTGATAAATGCCTGAAGACAGAAGTCATCAACAATTCAACTTACACCACTGAGCTGTGGACACTGTTCTGTGATGGACCTTACCTCAACGCAACTTGTGATCAATACTTCACTCTCAACAATGTGACTGAGATTAAAGCCATCCCAGGCCTGCTCAGTGGAGTCATCTCAGGTGAAACTTTAGCTAAAGCTACATACTTCATGTACACTCAGCTGTATATACAGCCAGTAATGCAGTAAGGTTATGTCTGTTTTCTAGAGAACTTGTGGGGAGATTATGGTCCAAGCGAGCGGCTGATAGAGAAAAATCAGTCATCAGAAGCTACTCTGGAGAATTTTGAAGACATCAAGAAGAAGCCCTATGTCTTCAGTGACATCGTCACCTTCTTCACCCTGATGGTGGGCATCTACTTCCCCTCAGTTACAGGTGAGAGAGGAGGCCACTTCTTTTATTGGCGATCAAGGATAACTGGCAAACTTCTCAGCAGCTCACACTCAGTCTCTCTGTGTATCTGTTATATTAAAGCTTCGAATAAAGCATTGTAAAACTTTGATAGCTAAAACAAGCACAATTTTCAATGGCCATGTAGCAGTTATTCTGCTACAAGAAATCATTCAAAATGTTTTATTGACAGAGTGGGCTCTCTAAAAGATGTTGAAAACTAAGGGCTAATTTCAACCAGTTGTGGACAGCAGAAAGCTGACTGCTATCCCCAACTGTTAAATTTGCAGTCAGAATCAGAGATTTTTATATCTTATCAGATCTTTTATGACACAAAAGCCCTCAGACTGAAGTGAACTGAAGCACTACATGCAGTAAATACAATGTTTAAAGAAAAGCAGCTTGAAATGTTTAGTCTGTAGTCTGGTTAGATTAGCCTGTAGTATACTGTTAGCCTGTAGTACATAGCAAGTATACTAGCTAGCAAGACAGCTGAAGTTTTAGGAACGTGACCTGTAACTTACAAAACACTTAAACTAGCAGACAAGTTCAGCTAGGTGACAAGTTCAAAATTAGCTATTTCTCTAGCGAACATAACTGCTATTCAAACTATATATTAGCCAGTTCTTTCAAGTTGTTTTGTCTGTTTCCTTTAACCACTACATTTACTGCATGTAGTGCTTCGTTCTGTCCATCAGACTGACATTTCTTCTATAATTAAAAACGCATTATTTTAAACTGTATAGATTCTGATGATGCTGCAAGCTGCAGGAGAATGGCATTGCAGTAATGACTGCACATGACCATAGCATGAAGATGGGCAAAGTTATACATGTAAGGATGGAAACTAAAGTTTTTGTTATTTACTGCATAAGGTTAGCGGCCCTACTCAGTTTTATTCTTGTTTTTTTCTCAAGCTGAAATTTCTTTAGGCTCAAGTCAGAGTCAAATCACAAGTCAGTCAATGTGCGACTCGAGTGCAGCTTGAGTCCGCATCTCTGATTGGAACTACCAAAACATGAATTAACTGATGGTAGGACCTTAAGAGATTATCAAAAGAGGGGCTTCCTTTAAATAGAAAATCTGAAAGATCTCATGCATTAATCATTAGCAAATGTTTGGTATGTAGGTACAGTTATAGATATTATGTGATGTATGATATGTCTGTTATGAAACATGCTTCTTATGTTCTTTTAGGCATTTTGGCTGGATCAAATCGGTCTGGAGATTTGAGGGACGCTCAGAGGTCCATCCCTATTGGCACCATATTGGCTATTGTTACCACTTCCATCATCTGTATCCTTTAGCTACAGTCAGCTCACCTAGCAGAACCTTATGACCTTAGACTGTGCCATCTGAAGAGATTATTTTCACTCTGCTTATAGAATGAATTGCAGTAAGATCTACCAATCATCTTCCCATGAAGTTTAACAAGTTAAATACCTTAATTATATCATTTAGATATGTCCTGTGTGGTGCTGTTTGGAGCCTGTATAGAGGGTGTGGTATTGAGAGACAAGTAAGCGTTTTTGTAAAACGTCAAGTCTATTAGTTGCACTGTACCAGTCTATAAAGTTTTACTTTGAACAATGTCCCTAAAAGCTTTTGTTGGCAGAATACCTTGTTAATCTGGCTTCAGAACACGTTCTGGATGTGCAAGTGAATATGCAAAAAAGCCAAACTGCTATTACAACATCTGTTTAAACATTGCATGCTTGTTTATTTAACCCCTTGAACCTGTGGCTTTTTATTAAGTTATTAATCTTAATGCCTATTCTTTGACTATGATTAATCATTCTGTAATTACTATGAAATTACTATGTAAGTACATATGGCAATTAGGCATTGAAGTGTGGACCCACATATAAGCCCATAAAGTTAGACTATCTAAGACCCATTATGTAGGTTTTGTAGTTGTCATAGTGAGGAATAGAAGTTTGAGCCCATATAGTGACTGCTGTAGTGTACAGGTTTCATTTAATTATATTTTTTTATGTGTTATGTATTAACAGGTTTGGATACTCTGTGAAAACAACCCCAGTGATAGGTACTCTGGCCTGGCCCTCTCCTTGGGTGCTTGTGATTGGCTCTTTCTTCTCCTGCTGTGGGGCAGGGTTACAGAGCCTCACTAGTGCCCCGAGGCTTCTACAGGCTGTTGCACGGGATGGAATTGTGCCATTCCTACAGGTGATCAGCACAATTCTTTACCAGTCTTCATTAAATCATGTCTTTGCATATGGAGCAGCTGTAAATTTAATGACATATGTAAAGCGCTTTGTTGCATTGTTGGTTAATTTGAAGCAATTCTTTAACTGGTTCACACAGGTTGAATATAAAAATAAATAGCGATTTAAAAGAGCATGTATATGTCTCCTCTTATAGGTGTTTGGTCATAGTAAATCCAATGGCGAACCAACCTGGGCTTTACTACTAACTGCGGGAATCTGTGAGATTGGGATTCTTATAGGCTCACTGGATGCTGTCGCTCCAGTCCTTTCAATGTAAGTGTGGACCTACTGTTCTTTCCTCCTATTAACCTATTGCTCCATTGCTATTACACACTTCTATAACCTAATAATAGCTCAGCCAGTTTGCATTAAAGTCCCTATAGTTACTGAATAATAAGCCTTAATATGTAAAAAGCCTGTGATTTTAAGGGGTTAAACTGGCTGCAAAGCTTGAACAGACTGGAGTAGATGCCTTCTCGGTTGCCAAAGTTTCACAAGAATGATCCAGCCTCGGGTAACAAGATCAGAGTCAGAGATTATCGAAGGATTTTATAACACTCAGCAGTATTACAATGCTCTGTTCAGCAGTGCCACTCATGTAACGTGATACTCTCAGAGGCAAGCTTATGAGTCTGATGAAATCTGATCAGTAGAGGTCTGAAAAGGCAAAGGGCCATGCTGAAATTTGTTTATAGCTGTTGCGTAACAGATGTAAAATATTACTTGGTGCTCATATACAGCAGGAATGATGATTGCTTAATAGCATTCAGTGGTGTATTTGACTGTAAAGGCAATAAAGAACAAATCTAACCGTCCTCTTTAGTGTATTCATGGGTCACATTTAAGGTCAAGTCTGCTATTCTCTGTGCAATCACATGGAACAAGAATAAGTGTCATCTAGCAATAGTCATCTCAGTATGCCAGCCTTCAGTTGTGTTACATTTGGTTGTGGTGCAGCACAATTCAGTTCTCACAGGCTGAAATGTTCCGTTTATTTGATGTCAGTTGATATCTGTGGTTAAAGTAAGATCTCACTCCTGATGATCCTGTTTTTCCATGGTGTACAGGTTTTTCTTGATGTGCTACCTATTTGTTAACCTGGCCTGTGCTGTCCAAACAGTACTGCGCACACCAAACTGGAGACCAAGGTTTAAATTCTATCACTGGTATGTAAACACACCATTTGTGTCATATATGATAAATAAACGAGTATTTTTGCCTCCTAATGTTTAACCTAATGTTTAACTCTAACAGTATCTCTTCCATTCTCTTAAATAAAAGCAAAGAATTTTCAAATTTCAATCTATGCTTTTGGAATAAAATAATTTGTTATGTGTGTTCATGCACTTACTGAGAAATTATAGCAGCACATCCAACAATAAAGACAGCATCACACATCTTTTAAACTGCTATCAAAAGTTTGAAATCACACTTTAAAATTTTGGAATCACTGTTTTTAATAATATAAATCCAGTTTTGTTGGATGTACATATGTAATTGATTGTGATATGATGTTACTCCTCTACACCTTTACTGGTTTCAAATAAATTGTGTAATGCTGTAAAGAAAAATAAGACCTATTTTATGTGTCTAGAATGAAGAACGGACCTATGGATGAAAAATATTTTGCAACTGCTTTCATAGCAAAATACAGACCATGAACTATGCATTTGCCTTTGTTCCTACAGGAGTCTTTCATTCCTCGGGATGAGCCTTTGTTTCTCTCTGATGTTTGTTTCATCCTGGTTCTACGCCTTGGTTGGCATGCTGATTGCAGGATGCATATATAAATACATTGAATACAGAGGGTGAGACTCTTTCCCTTCAGTTCTGTAATCACATAGTGTTACAGGGTGCAGACGGTGTTTCATTCATAATAGTAAATGGTGTTTCTGAAACCTGCAGGGCAGAGAAGGAGTGGGGTGATGGAATCAGAGGGTTGTCCCTAAATGCTGCACGTTATGCCCTTATCAAACTGGAGGAAGCACCACCCCACATTAAGAACTGGAGGTAAGCACAGGGACTTTTCAAACAATGGCAAGAATTTGCGAAGCGGCAGATAAAAGAAAAATGGAATTATTGTAATTGTTCTGAGTTCGGAATTACAGCTGATAATTACAATAACATTTTTGCTTGAACATGCACTGACACATGTTTAGTCACTGGTAGTTCAGTTCATGTCATTCATGAGCAAGTCACTCCAAAACCTATAGAATAGTGGATAACACAACTGACCTATACATGGAAGAATATTTCTCTGCACAAGCAGAAACTGCTATATCAATAAGATTCTCCTAGTGCTGGGCAAGACTTCAAACATTAAGCTGCAGTAAAACTAGACTTTTGCGGTTCACGCTGTAGACGTAAAATAAGCCTCCATGTTGGAGCAGTTAACAAGCTAGCCTAGTTGCTAATCATAAATAGTAACAACAAAAATGTGAACATAATTATATCAGACAATAATATACTAATGGGAGTATATTGCAACATATAAAAAATATAGATAACTGGCATGATTGGTGGCATGGGGTGACGTGTGCAGCTGTAGTTAGCCAAGGAGCTAACACAGTTGGCTAGCAGGCTAACTTGCCTACCATAAAGAGTAAAAACACAAAAGAGAACATAATTTTATCAGATTACTATACTCACACTGTCACACACTGTTCTGTGGCAGAAAAGTGTACATAACTGGTGTGGTTGGTGGAAGTGGGGTGATTTGTGTGCTGCTGCCACGGAGCTAACAAAGCAGTAGTAGAGTCTGACTGCCCTGTATGTCTGTGTATCAAGCCGCCTTTCTTTCATGTGTTCTTTTATAGCCAGTGGTGAAGAAATGGTAAGTAGTTTTCGCTCAAACACTGGTTAAATTAGCATTTCCTTTGTTTTAGAGGTTTAGGACTATGCAGGGCTGCTGCTTCAGAGGTCAACATGACCAGAGTTGAACTTGACAAAGAATTTTGCACGCAAAATTTATTCAGCCCCAGAAGTCTGTAACATTAAATCACTCATCATGCAAATTACATTGAGATGAGTGAAGTTTTGCTCATGAAAATTCCTGGCAAACACAGTTGTGACTGACTCTTTACATTCAGTTACCATTTTAAGTTACTCTGGATAGGAGCATCTGGTAAATACGTAAATGTTAACAATAATTGTCTCATTTAGCTTTGGCTATGTAGAGTTAATCAGTGATCCATCTTTAGTTAGAACTTTGGATGTTTTATGTTCACTACACGCCATATGAGTCATTCTCCATTAAGAGTGGGAAACCATGTCACAAAGGCTGCAGGGCTTAAAAAGATGCTTAAAGTATTAGGCACAGCTCCAAAAGCTGGTATCTACATTTACACAGTTGACATAAGATTAAATAATACTTTTCCTTTGCAATTTCTCTGTTTTTTTATCCTGTGTTATAGCCGCTCTGCATATGCAAAACAGCTTGTCACAAAACCAATTTTCAACATTTGAGAAACCATTTTTAATACAAAATAATATTTTTTATGAGGATTAACCTAGGAATTTGTATACAACAAATTCATATTTATTTTTTATATCATTAACTTTGTACTACATTTAAAAATGGTGTTATCGGGACTCTTATATTACATTTTAACATAGTATTTAACCTGTTTAACTGCTTCTTTGGGTCAAGGCTCATCAGAGAGGAAGCATCTCAAGGTCCATACTTGCTCACTATATTTCATTAATTTATTAATAATTTTGTTTCGGGCAGCACATAACTTCTTTGTGTCACTGGTGTTATGTGCTTTAATGGCTGGGCAATTATAATTTTGTTTTAACCTGAATGTCGCTGGAGTCACAGTCACTGGTGTTTCACCATATTCATATAACCAGTGACATGCAAAATATGTTTGGAATTTCATTTTTGTATATATGATAATAGGAGATGTTAATGGCTATATTAAGATTGTTTTTGGATGGAAGAAATTCATTTTTTAAAAAATCTATCCACCTGAATTCCCACTCCAAATGGAGAATGCCTCATATTTGTGTCATGATGGCCAAGACACTGGATGCAAACAAATAGTTTTATTCCACAATTCACAGTCAAAGTCAAAGACCAGAAACGGGCTACTGTAGGGCAAACAGGCATAAAAATTTAAATGTACAGGCTAAGAGGGTCAAAACCAGGGTCAATAGTCAGAAACCACAATATGGCTTAGAATGCTAGAGACAGCACTGAGTTAAATGAGGGTTTATGAAGGAAGAGGAATGATAAGGAGCAGGTGACGTGAGTGCTGGTAAGTCTGTGGAGGTGGGGCCTAAGATGTGACAATGTGAATATAGTGTGCACGTAAAATGCAAATGAGTAAAATGATTGATTATTGACAAAGACACAAAAATGTCTCTGGATTGTTTATTTTATCTCCAGTATCATCTCTTTATCTCTTTTTTGTCAGTTTTTTTGTCCATCTTATCAGATTTACCACTACTTAAACATGTGTCCTCCAGGCCCCAGATGCTAGTGCTGCTGACCCTAGACTCTGACTTGGTGGTGAAGCACCCACGATTGCTGTCTTTCACATCCCAGCTGAAGGCGGGGAAAGGCCTGACCATTGTGTGCTCTGTGCTGCAGGGAACCTTTATGACACGGAGTGCTGACGCCAAGCGCTCTGAAGAGGCAAGCTCGGGAAAAACGAGGCCCAAAAAGTTTTTACACTGTTAGAACTTGAATGACGATAAGGCTATGCAAACTTGAGAAGTTGTTTTTGTTAGCTTGATAATGTCTTCAACAGAAGTTTGCCAAGTGCAGTTACACCCATGTGGTCTTCATTACTGATTGGAGTCAGCTTAGTTGAACCAAAGCCCAAAATCAGAGCTCCGTTGCAGCTGACGCCCAGCAATGACGTACTTTCATGTCCACAGTTGTATGCAAAAGTTTGGGCGCCCCTGGTTGAGTGAAAATAGGTTAACACATGCTCTACAGACACACTTCTGCACATTTTAAGGCACAATTACTGTTGAATTTAACATACTGGAAATGTAAAATAAGTCATTTAAAACAATACATAAAATGTGCAAAGTTAATTTCTTTTTTATTCCAATATGTTACACCTAGCAAATAAATAAATAGAAGTTGTGCTCTACAACTTGCAGAAAAAATATCATATTTATATTTGTTCCTTATAGAGGATGTGTTAACTTATTTTCGCATAGAAAACCTACAAAACATGTCATTTGACCAATGTCATTTGATGCAAACGTTTGCATATGATTGATACGTATCTATCCAAATTCTTTTGTGCTAAATTGACAGATGTTGCTAAAAGTTTCAATTTTTTAGGAAAAGTTTTTTTTTGTCTTTTTTTAAAGTTAGGAAAATAAATTAATTGATGTTATTCATGAAGCCCTGCTTACTGACCTAGTCTCAAGCACTAACATTACATCATGAAGCATATAATTTGCATTTCCAAGGCTGATTTGTGTGATTAAGCTGCCCATTTGGGAAACCAGTTGGGACCCATAAATGGTAAAAGGTTCAGGCAGAGTAAGAACAGCCACGTCTTTTAACTCCGGCTCCCTGTTTTTCAGAATGTCAAGAAATCCATGGCTGCAGAAAAGACAAAGGGCTTCTGTCATGTTGTGGTGTGCTCTAATCTACGGGATGGCTTCTCAAATTTGATCCAGTCGGCTGGCCTGGGAGGCATGAAGCACAACACTGTTCTGATGGCCTGGCCCAGCAACTGGAGACAGGCGGAAGACTCCTCCTCCTGGAAGAACTTCATTGGTGCGTGCATGCTTCAGGCACTGATTAACCCCTAATGGTGTAGACTACTCAGCTACTTTGTAGCTCTGTTTCTGAGAATTTTGTTTTTCTTTGTTTCGTTGTTTTCATTTTTTCTGGTGGCCAGCAGGAGCTTCACCTAGGCGGTATTTAATAAGTGTGAGCTCACTTACATGTGGATTTCGATTGTTTCTTGCCTAGGACACCAGTAAAAATACTGCAGTGCTAAAAACACACAGGTGCACTAATCACTGCCCTGGTGACTTTAGAAATAGCTCTTATTTACAGTGCCATACATTTTGCGTATGAATTTGACCCACTGTATTATACAATTGCAATACTTTGCTCTAAATTCAGCTGATAACTGTAGTTGTACTTTTTCTTTGCACCTTTGTATTTCTAATGTACATCTCTTATATGATGTAATGTGCACAAGCAGTTGTTGCCCTCAGTTTTGCTACAATATGTAGCTAATACAGTTTGTAAAGACATAAGTAAACATGACATATCGAGCTAGCTCCCACATGCAAATTTTTGAAAATTTATGCATTCTGTTACACAGGGTAATTCCACTCTTTTTTCAAAATGTATTCATAATTGAATTGTTGCGATGTAAACAAAGTCATTTTGAGTGGTTTGATGTGAAATAGTTCATCATAGAGAAACATTGATTTTATAGTTAAACATTCTGTGCTACACTGGCTTTATTCAGTAGGTATATGCTTGAAATGGTTGCCCAATCACAAACTGCCAAGGGTAAAAATATGCACATGCTTTTTACATGATCTTCCTTATTATTTGTACAGTGAAACAAATGACTCGACACTAGTTGTGTGTAATATCTGTAGAACTTTGTTACGATCAGTAAGATTTTGCAGTATAGTTCTGCTGAACAGTTCAGTAAAGCATGAATGGCCGTGGCAGTTTCGGAGTAAGAGAGAACACAGACGCTCTGCACTCTGGGCAGAATCACATCGCTCCACTCCCCACTCTGCCACTCACATACTCTACTTATAGCACTTGCATGCAACTCTCTGCCTTAAATAGATTTTTTTTTAGAAATACATTTTACTCCAAAACCTCTGTGAGGCAGCTTTTACAGGCATTCAACCCTTTAGACATCTAGCTTCCAGCACTGTTTTTAAGAACGATTCTGACTCTCCAAGTTTCTCTAGAATAGTGCATTTTACATCAGACCACTCTGAATGACTTTGTTTATTTCTTAAACATTTCATTATTCAAATCTCAAAAAAATAAGTGTAACTCGCCCTTAATTTAACTAATAAACTGCTTTTCACAGCTGCATAGGACTGTTTACACATTACAGCACTTAGTGCACTTTTACCAGTCATTAAGAGTACAAAGATGGCAGTAACCAAATATCTTTTAATTATAACATTACAGGATAAAGTAGTTAACTGAAACACAAAACACCATCCTGTTCCTGAGTACCAGAAAATACGTTCAAATATATATGTGGGGCAAGAATAACATGTTAAAAGACAAAATCTTGTGAAATGAACTATTGATGAAAAATAAAAGCTAATTGACGAAAACTAACAAAACCTCAAGGAATGCTGGTAAGCTTTACCCTCATCACTACAATATTCAGAGACAGGTGGCTCAGAACTGCACAAAGTATTGCCTACTTTCCCAGTATGCTTTGCAAATACTAGCTAATTACAGTAAAATCCAACACTTTGTTTGGCAAAACACTTTTTTGCAGCAGTCAGTAGATTAACAGTGGATTACTGCAATGTTTCCGCTGTAAATTTACATAAAATCTTTAAATTTCATTTTAATGTATTGAGATTTTATGCCAAGTCAATTGGACCATTCAACATGAAATGTTCAAAGAATAAAGGGCAGCTGCTGTTTAAAAAAACAAAGGAATAAAAAATGAAAAAATGGGCTCTGGAGTATGATGGTGATGAAATGCGTGTTCATTTAAGGTTCTAGAGTTCTGAATTTGTTGATCACCAGGAGTACTTAAAAAAACGTATAGATGTCTTTTTTCCTTCAGGAACCTCTCTCTGCTTTCTCATTTCTCCTCACGTTGCCTGTACCTGTACCATAAATTCAGTGTAGCTTAAATCTAAATGTAGATTTACCTGTTTTGTAACTGTCTGATCATGGTCGTCATCTCAAACTACATGGAAATATGCAAATCTCTCCCTCTGCAGAGACGGTGAGAGAGACGACCTCTGCTCATCAAGCTCTGCTTGTGGCAAAGAACATTGATCGTTTTCCCAGCAACACAGAGCGTCTGGTTGAGGGCACCATAGATGTGTGGTGGATCGTCCATGACGGAGGCCTGCTTATGCTGCTGCCTTTCCTGCTCCGCCAGCACAAGGTACGAGGCTGAGAAATAGTCATGAGCATTTTGACTAATGGAAGGTTGGTGTAGAAACAGGGTCTGACTTTGTTTCTCTCTTTAGGTGTGGAAAAAGTGTAAGATGCGCATCTTCACTGTGGCTCACCTGGACGACAACAGCATTCAGATGAAGAAGGATCTGCACATGTTTATGTATCAGCTGCGCCTCGATGCTGAAGTAGAGGTGGTAGAGATGGTAAGACTCTACTGCAATTATAGTTTATGGGGAGAATGTTTTGAGTTAATAGATGTGATCAGTTGCCATGAGGACAGGACAGGACAGTAAAGGAAAGGAAAGGACAGGACAAGAAAGGAAAGGAAAGGAAAAGAAAGGAAAGGAAAGGAAAGGACGGGACAGGAAAAGACAGGACAGGAAAGGAAAGGAAAGGAAAGGAAAGGAAAGGACAGGCAGGAAAAGAAAGGACAGGACATGAAGGAAAGGAAAGGACAGGACAGTGCAGAAAAGGACAGGACAGGGCAGGAAAGGACAGGACAGTGCAGGAAACGACAGGACAGGACAGGAAAGGAAAGGAAAGCAAAGGAAAGGAAAAGAAAGGAAAGGAAAGGAATGAGAAGGAGAAGAAAGGGCAGGACAGGAAAGAACCGGACAAGATAGGCCAGGACAAGATAAGAAAGTAAAGAATAGAAATAATATCTTATTTATTGCTATTTATACTATATTAAATTGAAATATGCCATTTTCCGCTGTGTAGCCTGGTTGTACTAGACACAACATGGCAGTATGTTATTATGTTTTTGTTGGCACCCAGCCTGGGACCCTTGTTAAGGTGAGAGTAAGATTAATGCTAATGTACGATTGCTTTTGTTATTATGAGCTTTAGAGAGACATTCTGGGCAAATAAACTGGCTGTAACGACAGTTTATATATGGTTAATGAAATCCTTAAATGTTTTAAATGTTTAGATTAAATTCTTAAAAATTAATTTCTTTTTGAATTCATGTTGTAACCTTTCTCAGCACTTTTATTGTCTGTGTTGTTTAGCATGCCAGTGATATCTCAGCCTTCACCTATGAGAAAACCCTGGTGATGGAGCAACGTTCTCAAATGCTCAAACAGATGCAGCTGTCCAAAACAGAGAGAGAAAGAGAGGTAATAATTCTCCAGTAATGTACCATTAATGCTTCAAATGAGTCAGCATTCTATCAGAGGTGTTCTTAACAACTTTTACCATTTAAAAGGAGGAGTATCTCCTATTTCCTTAAAAAAAACAGATACATACATCAGATACATCAATGACGTTGGATATATGTATCTGTTTTTTTCTGCTTTTTTAATGAATTTGCAAGTTCTCTAGCCTTTTCCTCCCATTTCAGACAGTGGTTGAGAGATCCAGCAATAGAGTTTAAATAAGGCTGTAGCAGTGGTTATCAACCCTCATGTTGGAGATCTGCTTTCCTGCAGAATTTAGTACCAGCCTGCATCTAACATGCTGCCCCACCCCCTTACTTAACACTAATGAATCTGATCCAGCCAATCAAGGAATTCTAAAGACGTTAATTAGCTGGAGCAGGTGTGGCAGAATGTTGTTCAAACTGCAGTCCAGAGAAAGGTTGACCTCCAGGACTAGGGTAGGTGACCACTGGGCTATATGCTGTTTGCTGTCTGCTCCTATGTGTCAAGAGAGAGGAGAGACAAGTGTGTGGCTTTTGGCAAGTATGAAGCAATAGGCCTCATTCACCAATATCTTTGTATATAAGTTTTTTCTTAAATTTGTTCTTCAGAAAGGCCCTAAGAAAAAGTCTGCATCAGATTCATGACACATTCTTAAACTGCGGAATTGTTCGCACTTTTGTGATCTTGAGTGTGTAAATTCTGTTCTTACCTAAGAACAAATCCCAAATAAAAAGACTTTGGTGAATGTTAGAACCTTGAAGGAAACTGCGTACATGGGTTTTAAGAAGAAATTTCTTCTTATGAACAGTTGGTGAATGAGGCCCAGTGTTCTGTATGTCCCTAATTCATAAGATTAGCTCTGTTAAGGAGGAAATTTATCTTGAAAGTCTAAGTGTTAAGCATATGTCTGTATGGGACTTTCTTTAGTAGAGGGAGTAAAGGCTCCTTTGCTTATTGTTACTGTGTTGTGTGTTCTGTGGGTGATGGCAGATTCAAAGCATTACTGATGAATCCAGGAGCTCCATTAAGAGAAAGAACCGCATGAAGGAACCAACTCCCAACACCTTAGAAGTACCAGGGATGGCAGCCCTAGAAAATGAGGTATCCATTTTGTTTTTCATAATAATAATAATAATTTCAGATCCTACTATAAAAAGCTTACCTAATATGTAATTGTGCCATGTAAAGTGTCTAGTAGTCAGTATTAAGCCCACCTGAAACTTTCAAAAGGAGCTGTAACCAAAATAATAAAAAGTTCCCAGTAGTTCCCAGAGCTATGTCAAATGTTGGGGAATTACTACTAAGGAAACAACAGGTTTGTATGCCCTAGATTTGCCAGGTGTCTAGTTTTGGACCAGATAGTCTGGTTTTGAGCTCCATTGTCCAGTGTCCAATTGCTACTGTCAACTGGACATTCTAGGCTTTGCACTGGCGTAGTAACCACAAGTAATCATATGACACCACGTGAGTGGGGTTGAACTCTGTAGCTGCATCTCAAATAGCATGTCATATTAGTACATCACCAGTGGTGCCATTACTTCGTTGAACATACTTTTTAGTGCGGTGGTATGCAGATTGTGACACAGCCTGTATGTAGGCACATAGGCAAAGTTAAGCTGCGTTATGGTTTGGGATAAAAAAGAAAGTGAATTCATTTCTTATTCATTACAGTTACTTTCAAAAACCATTTAAATGTGTGTTTTTTATGTTCTATGCATTAGTTAGCCTACAGTAAATAAACAATAGGTTGTTTTCTCATGGTGTTATTTGTGCTACACAAATAGTAGAAATACATATATAAAAAATAAACATATTGAACTAAACTCAGGGCTGCTCGCTGAGGCCCTCTGGTGGGCCATGATGCCCCAACACTGCTTTTTGTTCCTGATGCAATACAGTTTGTATTTATGCAGGCTCAGATGTTTCATGAAAGGAACGTTAAGCCTCATGATGGCCACCAAGAAAAGCATAGCCCCTCATCTTACCACGTCCACATGACCTGGACCAAAGAGAAGTTCATTAGTGAGAGGAACCGTCACCGTGAGGCGAGCCCAGGTATCCGGGACATCTTCAACATGAAACCGTGAGTACAACACGCATGAACACAGGAAAACCACTGATTCTAATATATCATCTACAGCCATGTAAAAATCACATTTCAGCATGTATAATATGCATGTTTGCTGTTTGCCCTGAAAATATCTGACCAGCTTTTTTTGTCTCCCCCTTTCTAGAGAGTGGGAACATCTGTAAGTCATATTTTATTTTGTTCTATTTATGTGTGTATAGTAGATGATAAACTCTTGTTTGGAAATGCATGTTGAGCGTGTATTTGTGTCCTGTGGTGTCCACTTAGAGCAGTATGCAAAAGTCAGAGACCACCCTTTCATTTGTTTCATTTTCAATCAAGACGCTTTCAGTTTTTCAAAGAAATCTACAGGGGTGTTTTTCCACACCTCCAAAGTTCAGTATTAGAAGTTGGTTGCATTTTCTGCTTATCACTATCCAAGTAATTCCAATCCCTGTTAAATCTCACTCCACATTTTCTCCAGTTTTAGTATTTTGCAGAAAATGTTCCTCTTTTTTGTCCATTTCCTTTTGTCAAGCAACAGTATATTCCTTCCTCTGAGATACACTATATGTACTGTTTGTAGACACCTGCTCATCCAATATTTTTTTCTCAAAAGAAGGGTGTTAATAGGGAGTTCCCCCCCCCTTTGCTGTGAAGATTTGATTGCATTCAAGCTCAAGAGCTTTAGTGAGGTCAGCTACTGATGTTAGATGATTAGTTCTGGATAACAAACACCACTGCAACTCATCCCAAAGGTACTGAGTGGAGCTCAAACACTTCAGAGAATGCAGTTCCACTGCTCCACAGCCCCTTAGGCTCATGTGCAGCTACTCAGGCGTGTCACATTCTGTTGACAGTGCTTTTCTATGGAAGTTATGCAAGCTGTATGTGTGTGTGTGTGTGTGTGTGTGTGTGTGTGTGTGTGTGTGTTTAATTGGGTGCTGAATTTACTGCCTGGATTAGGTAAAAGATGGAAAACAGTTTAAAATGTAAACAGATTTTGTGTTTTCATTTAAATCATTATGATTAATTGAAATTGTTTCTCACAGGAACCAGTCCAACGTGAGAAGAATGCACACTGCAGTCAAACTGAATGAAGTTGTGGTCAACAAATCCCAGGGGGCTCATCTTGTCTTACTGAACATGCCCGGACCACCTAAAAACAAGGGTGGTGATGAGAATTGTATCCTTTTTCGATACATATTTATGTCTGAATCTCTTTAAAGAGTTTTGCATGATTTGATGAATAGTGCTAGCTAGTAGTGTAGTAGTAAAATATATCAGACCCTGTAGTGAGGAGGTCACAGGGTCAGTTTTCTTTTGGTAAATATTTGCAATCACGCTGCAGGTTGCAGGTTCTAATAGCTCCAGTACTTATACACTTCCTAAAAAGATACAACTTTAAACATTGTGCTTTGAAGGGGATTCCAATTCCAGATTTTCAAAATTTCTGCACCATTTAGTTGTTAAGATGTAAACAAAATCATACAAACTGGTTTGACATGAAACTCACCATTCTAGAGATACTAGAGTCAGAATTGTTCACAGTAGCAGTGACAGAAACCAGATTTCTATGAAAGCTACCTCAGAGTAAATGATTAGGTGAAATGGTTATGAATATGTTGCACAAGATATTATTTTATGATACTTTTGAGATAAGGTTAAAGTGCATTTATGGTGGGGAAATGCAACCCTGTTTCCAAAAACGTTAGGATGCTGTGCAAAATGTAAATAAAAACAAAATGCAATGATGTGCCAATCATTTAAATTAAAATATTTGATAGAAAATAGCACAAAGACAGCATATCAAATGTTAAAACTGAACAATTTTATTGTTTTTGAAAAATATGTGCGAGTAAATAGTGCAACAATTCAAGGATAATAAAATAGCATAGAATTTAGAGATTTCATAATCTACAGTACATAATATCATTTAAAAATTCAGAGACTCCAGAGAAATCTCTGTATTCAAGGGACAAGGCTGAAAACCAATATTAGCTGGATGTGATCTTCAGGCCCTCAGGTGGCACTTCATTAAAAACAGATACGATACTGTGGTTGAAATCACTGCATAGGCTTGGGAACACTTCCATAAACCATCATCTGTAAACACAGTTCATTACTTCTTTGCAGCATGCAATAAGAAACCATATATACACAGGATACAAAAACGCTGCTACCTTCTCTGGGCCCAGGTTCATTTAAGATGGACTGAGGTGAAGTGAAAAAGTGGAAAACGAATCAAAATTTGAAATTCTTTTTGCAAATCATGGACACTGCGTCCTCTGAGCTAAAGACCACCTGGCTTGTTATCAGCACACAGTTCAAAATGCAGCATCTGTGATGGTATGGGGGAGCATTAGTGCACATGGCATGGGTTACTTGCACATCTATGAAGGCACTATTAATGCTGAACAACATATACAGGTTTTGGAGCAACATGTGCTGCCATCCAGATGACATCCTTTTCAGGGAAGGCCTTGCTTAATTTAGCAAGACAATGCCAAACCACATACTGCATGTAATACAACAGCAAGGCTCTATAGTAAAAGAGTCTGTTTGCAATACTGGCTTGCCTGCAGTCCAGACCTGTCACCACTGAAAACATTTGCTGCATTATGAAATAAAAAATATGACAAATGTGATCCTGAACTGATGAAATCTTATATCAAGCAATTTACATAAACCACCCTGAATGACAAATGATGGAAATTGAAAAAAATGATGGAAATTGATGATGGAAAAAATGATGGAAATTGATGGAATTCCCTCAGAGTAAACCAGGATGCAGGAATCTTTTCATTTTTTTAAGGTTATTTATGGAAGCCTTTAAAGAGCTAACAATAATATTTTGTATAGCTATGTATGCTTTGGACTATACTGTGACCATTTGCTCCTTGACAGGCTTCTCCTAGACATGGAGTTTCTGGAAGTTTTAATTGAGGGCTTGGATCGGGTTCTGCTTGTACGAGGTGGAGGTAGAGAAGTCATCACCATCTACTCTTAGCCCCATGGCAGAGAGTGCCACTCTCTCACTGCAGAGAGTGTATGTACACAAGTGGACTGTCTATGACTCAGGACAGGAACATTGGAAACTAGGAAAATTGCTTTCTGTTAGGGATGAATTAAATAGTACACACTTTTAACCAAACTGGATTCATGTCTATGCCAAAATGCCAAAATGTTTAGCTAAATGTGTAACTGCTGAACATATAGCCAGTGAACATGTAGCTCATTGTTTTGGGTAAATATATTCCAATAGGCTACTTTTAAATATGTTTAGCTGTATGTATTGATAGTGACAGTTAATGTACGTTGTCTTACACAACGTGGAAGCAGCCAAGAATGGATGCTAAGAAAACTGCTGATGAGTTACCTGAGAAATTGCATCTAATTTTTTAAAATGTTTCTAATTTTTTTAATGTGCTGCCAATCCAGTGTGATCTACTGCAAAAAACCAGAGTGAATTTTCCAGGACCCTTCCCTAATATAGCTATATTTGCTTCTGACAAATGATTCAGAAACAGCCAAATTATTTATTTTCTGTTTTATTAGGCGTGACATTGCACTCAAATTCGAGGCCGAAGGGTTGCAGGCCTCACAAAATCGACAGTCTTTCCAAATATGCCAATAGCAAGTATTCAGTAGCATTTATATCTAAGCACATTATATATGTGTTATGAATGATTATATGAAGTTTGTAAGTAGGGTCTGTAAACTAAAATGTTATCAAATATGTATAATATGTATTTACCATGCTAGTCCTGAGACGGATGCAGGCTTTTTTGACAAGTTGCTTAATTTCATTTTTAATGTAGTGTAGAATAATAACTCTGTGTTCTGAAAGACAGTATTTTAACAGTGTTGGGTTATTTAATAAGTATTTTTATTCTCCTTTTTTCCATGTATTATACATACCTTGTGCTGCTATTTTAATAGGAAAGCATCAGTTTTTAACACAAGGAAAGGGCTCCCACACTCATTTTTTCACAGTAGTAATAGAATAATGCATTAATATCATTGTTTTTCACAGCTCATATATGTTTAATGTGAGCCTCAGCACAATGGAGATTGAACAGTGTGCATATATTGAGATCATTCTTAGTGATAAGTGTTTGCTGAGGAACATGAGACAAAACCAGAAATCAGGCCTATGATGATGTCACCTCAGACTTAGTAACACTTGCCCATTGATCCCTTCATAATCAGTGTCAGATTCAAACCACTGAAGAAGACACAACCTTCTCACTCAATGTACTATCCAAAAATGTCTTAAGACAAACTGTTAAAATGAACAGATATTGTATCAGCTTTACAGTGAAGCTGCCTGTTCTAGTCTGACTGACTCTTCAGGTTTGCCATTTACCTGCCTGATCTCCAAATTCTGCACAGAGACTGAATCCTGTAGTCTTGAATATGTGTATATAGTCTTGAATGCTCTTGGAAAATTGCTAGGACTCAGGTGCCTGACCCTGTTTTAGTAATTTTATTTTAATAGGACATAAATTATTGCTTTTTGCTTTGGATTTTCAGGAATTTTGAAGAGAAACAAGGATGTAATTACCTACAAAACAATCTTCTAAACAAATACATATCAGTTAAGCCTTTGATTGTACTGATACTCACTGATCTCTGTTCACTGGACTGAGCCAGTTTAAACCCGAGGGTTTAAAACAGGTGGATTCTTGTGTGCCGATGTGCTACTTAAAGAGCAGTAATGAACAGAGAGCTCTTTGTTATGCTCCATAGAAATGAATGAAAAGGTTCTTATGCTTATCCTATGGATAGAATATCATTTGAGGAAGCTTATTTGTCAGTTTTATTTCTTTTAGATAGGTTTGTCAAGTATTTAAATGCACAAGTTAGATAAGACGCTAATTTAGAAAATTATGAAAAACGTCATTTGGGTTGAAAAAGGTCAGGTTGGATTTGTCAATATTTCTGTTTTTCTAAGGGATTTTTTTTTGGGGGGGGGTTGGATTTGTAAGTGTTTTAGAATACAGTGTTCTGTCTTAGCAAAACTGACATTTTTTTTTAGATAAGATCAATAAAAACTACACAGACTTCAACTGGATTTGTGTTTTTTTTTGTGAAGTTGTTTAGATTCCCATCACTGATATATTTCACATTAACAATTAGATTACAGTGTTTAGATGCTGCACTTAACACCATTCATTTAAATATAAGTTAATTAATTAAATTAGATTTACTGCCATATTAGTCATTCAAACCTGTTTGTGTAAGTAAGTAGGGGTATAGATTTTACAATGTCACTTTGATTATAGATGTGATGACTTCTTTAAAGGCTCATATCACATTTCTTGCTTTTTTGACAAAATAAAGAGTTTAACATTTCATCAACCAACATCCTTAAAGTTTTAAAACACACCATTCACCCAATCCATAAAGTCCATATATGGAAAGTGTGTGACAACAGCTTGTTTTGAATGTTTTGAATTTGTCACAAATGCCAACATATTTATAGACATAGTCATTCAGTCTACAGCAGTTTAGCCCCACCTATAAACACTGAGGTTATAAGAAGTGTTTCAGCCCAGAGTGTTTGTGCTTTTTGAATGAAGTACAAAATGGGGCAGCCAATCAGAAGTAAAAATGTACATATATAAATCTTAAAGGCAAAGGCCTGAGGTTGGAAATGGTCATGTAAAATAAATTACTATGTTCTAATATGTAAATGAAAATGTATTATTATATTTTTTGTTAGTGTACCATTTAGTGTATAAGAGGTCTGCCTTCTTAATAAGGCCCAGAATTAGATGGGTATACCTTGGAATTTTATAAGAAATTTTGGCCTGAGCTGTCACTCATCCTTATTCCTGTATGTTATAATATGCATGTGCATGATGCCATTCCAGAGTCCACATCTATCGGTCTGCTTTTAAAGAAGGACAAGAATCCACTCAAGTGTTTTTATAACAGGCAGAGAAGTTTATTGAATGTAGATCTTAAAATCATTGCCAAAGTACTTGTTCATTGGCTAGAAGGTCTGTTGCTATGGTTGATACTTCCAGATCAAACAGTATTTGTGAGATCAAGATATGGTCAATCAGACAATGTGCGTTGAGCTCTTAATATCATAGACCACCTCAGCAGAAACATGGATCCAGCACTGATTGTCTCTCTTGATGCTGAAAAAACCTTTGACAGAGTCAGATGGGACTTCCTATTTGTTGTACTGGAGAAAGTTAATCTTGTGTAAGGACAGCTTGCTACACTGAAATAATTAAAAATGCGTTAGTATGTAGCACATAAAAAACTGAAACACTTACTACCAAGTTACAACCGGCCTCTGGACACTGTGTACTCATGGCAGTGCACAAAACAAGGTTCATAAAGACATGGTTTTGCTGACCTTGGTGTGGAAGAGCTTGACTGGCTGGCACAGAGTCCTGACCTCAAACCTATCAGAACATTTGGGATGAATTGGAACGCTGACTATGAGCAAGACCTTATCCCCCAACATCAGTGCCTCATCAGTGTTCTCGAGGCTAAACGATAAATTAATAAGTGAATCTCTGCAGTCATGTTCCAAGATCTAGTGGAATGCCTTCCGAGAAGAGTGGAGACCCTTATAGCAGCCAAGGGGGGACCAACCTTACATTAATGTCTACAGGTTTGGAATGAGACAAGCACACATCATGCTCAAGTGTCCACATTCTTTTGACCATGTAGTGTAAAACGCCTCTAAGGTTATGTGTTTCCAACAGTGGCATCATTTATCTCTAGATTTAGCCTTGTGGTGGCCAATGTGTTGCCTTAAACAAATAAGCCTTAATCTCCTTTTTATATCTTGCAAAAAAATCATTATTCAAATAGACAAAGAAAATAACTGTGTTTGTGTTACGCTGCTTTTAGAGATGCTTATCTTCACAGGGCAAGGCTAGCAACTCCAACCTTGAGTCTGTCTAAAATGTACACTCTGTCTCTCTCTCTCTCCCTCTCTCTCACTTTAAAGTGGGTGCTGAGAGTCCCTAAAGGAAAGCGTGATGGCTGAACTTTATAAACAACAGGACAGGTAAACTATCCTGGGTTTGCAAAGGTCAGTTAGATATGATGCCAAACCAGCACCCTTTTATAGGCCAATCCTGTAAAATTCTTATAAATTAAGTACAACTAAGGGACAGTAAGTTTATTTCAATCTGTAATACACACACAGTAAGTTATGGCATCAAACTGTAAAGAACGTTGTAGTAAGACCTTCAAACTAAGTGATTCACATAGAAGTACTTCACATCCTTTTTATTCCGTTATTAATGTTAAGTCAAATAAATGTTTCAGAAACTACTATAAATTATTATCATGAAAATAATACATAGATTATGTAGTGATGAGAGTGATGAATTGAAGATTATAGACATTTAAGGTTTAAGGAACTAATATTACTTTAGTTAAAGTCAGCATATAAGCATTTCTCTTCACTTTATGCAGTGCTATTTAGTTGTTTTGTGGCTTTAAGGAAGCACCAAAGGGTTCATTAATGTACATAAACTGCTTGTTACATAAGTATAACATTTACTGTAAAGAACAAGTAAATAATAAACAATATGCAATAGACATAAGAGAATGGGGTATCAGAAAACAGGTATTTGTATGAATCTATGTTTTACTGAAAAGGCGTTTGATGAGCAGATAACGATGGTAGCTGTGGATGTTTGATCCCAGGAAGCTTCCAGAGTCAGAGGGTCAATCTTACAGAGGGAGAAAACATACATCAGTTTAAACTTACAAATAATCCAGTTTCTTTTCAAAATATAAATAGTGTATTCTCTCTTGAAGTAACTGAGGTATAATAAATCCTCTGTTTCTGTATTCTAATGTTACTCTGGCAATCATGCCCTTTATTTAACCAAAGAGCCTCATGGAGAACAAATTCTTTTACAGCTTTCCTATTAGAACATGAACTTAAGGCTTAAGAGAAAATGTCAGCAGCTCAGACAAAGCACAACAAGGAAGAACAGTAATCCAATCTCTACACAGTTACCTTATTACATTAAATATACACATACACTTTAATGTCACCAGAATTTACAATTTTATACTGATATCATTTTTTCATTCATCAGTGTTCTCACTACAATACCCAGCATGCATTACACAAATACATCATGCATCCACTGGGAAATCCTGTGGTGTCAACCAAACCTCACTGCTAGCCTAGCTACCGATCTACAGGATATATAGCTATATCTAGGCTAGCTTTACTGTAACTCTTATCCTGGTCATTGACCTAAATTGTAAAGAAAAAAACAGTAATTCTATCTTTATTCAGCACTAAATGGAGGCCAGAAACAAATTTGAACCCTTTCAGCTAGAAAAAAGAAGACAAACTGAGGTAAATGATATTGAGTTAGCTACCTTGCTAACGTTAGCTTTTAGCTTGTTGTTCTTGTCATCTGATGGTTCATTTCCGTTGGCTGAGTAATCCATTCTCTTTATCATAACGATGATTTGAAGACAGTTCCTACAGTTATTTGGCAAATAGGTATTTAGCTTCTAGCTGTCTGGCTTCCTTTAGCATTGAGTTGTAAGCCTGCCTACAAAAATCCACCCAGAAGCAGTTCGGCATTTTCAAAAGTTCCTCCCACCTTCATCAGAAGGGGATTTGACCTCTTTAAACCAGAAAATCTCACTCTAGAACAGGGGTGTCAGACTCAACCACTAAAAGGCCCATATTAAAAAATCTCAGCGAATCCGTGGGCCAGCTTTTATTTCATTTTTCACTTAACTGAACAGGCCATTATTTTTTCAAAATATGCAAAATAGGCATTGAGTACTTCTTCAAAATTAATGCTAAATAAAAATAAATTGTTTAGGTTTTTTTTTTAAATTATTGTTTTATTATTTTATTATTACTTATTTGTTTGAACTAAACACTAGTCATCTTTTCTTTTTGTGTAACTGGCCCATACATCGTTGTTGGGGGGAGGGGGTTAGATCGCACACTATGTTGCAGTGCATGCTGGGGACTGTAGTGCATCTCAGGGTGAAACAGGACAACAAGAATAGAAAATTAAAATAATTTTGTGGTCTGAGTAGGACTGTGTCACGGGCCTTGTGTTTGACACATGGGCTCTAGAGACTACTTCAGCACTGCATCCTGTTTTACAACTGATGTAGTAATGGTTAAATGTTTATTTTTACTGGAGTGTGCCCTTAAAGAACCTCCACATAAGGTTCTATACCAATTATGTGTAAGGAATCTTTCTTTTATAAGCAGTAAAGAAATGCATCATTTCTGTTTCTACAGTAAGATTTTTAGAATTTTCCATTTGTTGTGACTGAACAGTAGCAAATCATAAACACGAAGATGCAGATATACATACACACACGTACAGCTACTGCGGTCCAGTGTCAGTGCTCAGAGTCACTGCTGATTCTGTGCCATTCATCACACCAGTGGTTTAGATGAAGGACATTTTTCTTTCCTTCTCAATAACAAGCTTCCTGTTCTCCTGATACTAGGATGCCTGTACAACAGAATGCACATTTATTTACACTTTATCTCTAGAATCAATATCAAATCACTTTCTGTTACTTTATCGTTTCAATGGATCAAGATTGAAACCACATTTTGCAGAATGTTTTAGCATTAACACTGTGAAATAGTAGGTTATAAGTCTGCTGCAGTAATAGTAAGTAGACTATATGCAATAAAATAGTATTTTAATGCTACACATAAGTTCATTTTTCCCAATATTTATCTAAAATATGGGTTCTGAACAGAACAGAATACTATCTTAATCTACAAAACATATTAGCTTAAATGCTTAAATTGCTAGATTGCATGTGCTTACCTCAGATGAAACCCGGTCCGTGAAATATTTATCAGAATCAAGAAGAAAAGTCCAATAAATGCAGCCATAATGATCCAGAATATGATAACGATTGAATCTAAAGCGCACCACAGGACAGGATGCCATGTCAGAAAATCTACAACTGAATGATTCTCTAATGTTCTCAGTATCAGACATTCTCTCACGTCAGTCCGTCTACAAGCAGAAAGAAAAACTTACATCTGTTGTATCTGAGTGTTCTCGAATCCACGATCACCGGATCCATGTAATCATAATAATACTCATACGTCAGTTCATACGCGGAGGAGTTACTGGACTTCTCCATTATCTGTGTCTTCAGTGAGAAACAGACTCGGAGAAAGAAACAACAAAAACATGCTGACTGTGTTCTTCCATTAAAGTCTCCACCCATGAACCCAAAAAGGACTTCTGAAGGACAGACGGACAAATAATGACACCGTCACATATTAGAGGCTGAAGAAGTGTTGAGTTTCTTTCAGCTTTTCCTGCAGCGCTCATCAGCAAAATTACACTCACTGGTCACTACTGTCCCAAATCTCACACTCTAAATGATCTGATTACAAAAACAACAAAGATGAACCTAAATGACTAAAGTCTTGAAATCAAAATGGCCTTTTTGGCTTATTAATTTACACTTCCGGTCAGTTTAAACATGATTCATCATATTATATAGTTTAAAATACAAAATTCCTGTTTTTCCATAATCTTCAATCAAAATGTATTTACTGTTTCCTGCCTCTCAAACCTCTGCTGACATTCAATTACGTCACTGTGACATTATTTCAACTCAAAAATACATCATGTTATGGAAGGAAAATGTGCTCTAATTTACGATGATGGACTTTAATGATTATAAAATTAAAGCTTTTAAAGCAACAATGAGAAAAAGTATTTTATGTCAAAAATAAATGAACTAAATTCCAGATTTTTTCACTTTTCATGAACTAACTTTTATTTTATTAAATAATTTTTATTAATTTTTAGGACTTTTTTCACATGATAATGAGAAAGGCATATCTAAGATCTGAGAAGCCAAGAGTGGCTGAGAGCAGCTGACGATCCGGTGGATGTTTTTCGTTGCTCTACATTCTGCTGTTCATTCTGCTTTTTGCACCATTTCTGATCCTTGTCTTATCCATAGGTAACTTAACAGTTAATCGTTTCCAGGACCCTGATTAAGCTCAAATCTAGACTCAAAGCAAGGCTGTTTATGAAGATTTGGGGGCCCTAAGCGACATACTACGTGGGGGCCAGTTACCCACCCCAATCGATACTTCGTTCATTTTGAGCCAGAAAAGGTTCAATAAATGCTTTGGTATAGAAAATACAACAATAAATAAGTATACACAGATCATTTAATATATAAATACATACAGTACATAATACAGAAACAAATACATACTACATACTTATTAAGCCTCGTGAGGCCCCTTTTACATACTTATGTACTTACTGGACTAGAACCATTTTTCAGGCCTGGAATGTAACCCACACACACACACACACACACACTCACACACACACACACACACACATTACACAGTACTGCACAAAAGTCGTTAAAGCAGTTTTAAAACTGTTTGAAACAATTTATCTGGGCAAACACTATATGACATTACAATACATACAAATAAACATGAATATAATAAAACCTCACTGAACTCCAGTCACTGTATGAATTTGTTCAATTTCAGCAGCACCTGACTGAATTTTATGAAGGGTTGCTTAGCTGAAGCAGGTATTGGGTAATAAGTATAAATACTGGACTTCCTCAAGAAGAGCTTTGGAAATGGTGAAGCTAACACACACACACACACACACACACACACAGACACACACACACCCTTTTGATGAGGGTGGGAGGAACTTTTGAAAAAGCAGAACTGCTTCTGGGTGGATTTTTGTGGGCAGTCTTGCTACTGAATGCTAAAGAAAACCAGACAGCTACACACTTACTCACACACATCAAATCACAATGTGTTGTTTATTTGTGTTCATTCTAATGTTTGCATTTCTTAACAAGTAAATGCCATGTAAATAGATTTACACATCATCAGTACTGTTTGTCTATTGTTTATGATGAGACGCAATTGCAGACACTGTATATGGGCATAATGTGATACCAAATCCTCTACCTAACTATGCTGGCCACCCTTCAGGTCTGACAGGACCATAATCAGCTCAGGCACCTGGAGCTTTTTCTGCTGCATTAATGTGACACTGACTGACTGACTGAGGGACTGACGGTCTACAGCAGGACCGTTAGCTTGCTGTGTGTCAGGGTGCTGATGGGAGTACAGGTGGTAAATGGATTTATTCTGACCGACCTCTTGCTGAATTAGTTATTGTCAGCACACTTTTCTCTCAGCTCCGCCATTCTCCCCTCTTCTTCTCCATTTTACGAAGTGAACGCAAATCACGGGGCTGCAGGCTAATTAGTGCATTCAGTACATAAACTGGTCAGTTAGTTCTACTGAACTCACTGATCATTACGTGCACACTTTAACGCTTTAAACAGGCAGGGGTGGAAAATCAGTTTTAAAAATGATTTAATGTTAATAAAAATCTCATTTGCAAAAAAGAAACGGCTCAGACTAAAATTAATTTCCAGCGGTGATTTATCTTTAGCACTGCAGACGAGTCCATGACTAAACTTAATCCGCGTCCAGGAAAACTGAATTAAAGGTTTGTTTTTATTTTTGTTATGGAATTCCAGTAAGAATCAGTCAGGACCTTGCAGGACTCGTCCCAAATCGCGGTCTAAAGTTTTAATTTGCTCTCTTCTGCAGTGTCACATTCCCACGTTTCCTTTCGCCGGCCAGCAGGTGGCGATGACACACCTTTTACTTTGCGCAGTAGAAGAAGAAAAACAGCAACAACATCACCAACGAGGCCAACCGTCCCTCACTTCCCCTAGACACTTCTACTAGGAAGAGTCCACATTACGGGGATCAGCGTTTGTTTGGACATGATATATTTCCTTCTAATATTGGATATTTCTTGTCAGTTTGGAATTATTTTAATAGTTTAAAAGTCATATTTTGTGTAACTATTATACTAATTCGTGCACAGATGTAATCAAGCTGCGGTTAAGTGCCGTTATGTTTGTTAGACCACCCAGCATCATGGATTAACCCAAAAGAAGGGATTAGAGGAAGTGGACATAGGTCTGTTTATTTGTTGGATTGGAACGGCACTTGCGTTTAAAACTGCGTACCGCCATATCAAATAACGTTGCACCGATTTGCTTTTCTATTTTTTTTTATTCTGTCACGGTGTTTGTCGTTGAACGAGTCGTTTTTAATGTCAAAAGCTTACCGGGACATTTCTGACTCCGGTGTAGTTCGCCTTAATAATGAGCGGTGTTGTGTTATGTGATTGTGAGAAGTCGGATAACTGACAGTTAGTGTTTTAATGACTTGTTTTCCCTGCAGACGTAAAACAGTTAGATCAACTCTTATAACGTTACAGGTTAAGTTGCTACCCGGACGAAGGAGTCAGAAAGAGGTTCCTGTGAACGAGAAACGAACTTCACTAAAGTCTGCCAACTGAAGCTCTTGTTGACCTGACTTTGGAGAAGTTTCTTCTTTAGAGCACTGAGAGAGAGAGGGAGAGAGAGAGAGAGGAAAAGAGGTTCAGCAGTTGTTTTTTTCTGTGCCCTCGCAATGGCGGAAGGAATAAACTCAACTTCTTTCACCTCCCGCGTCAAGAAAACCAACACCAGCAACACGACCACAAACGTGAGACGAAGCAGCCGACAAAGCAGCAAGAGGGACATTCACAGCCGGGTATGAGCTTTTTTCTTGAGGCTGGCGTTTGTTGTCTTATTCGCCAGCTTTTTGTTCGAGTTTTTCCGTTCCACCTTAAATGGTGCAGCAGTTACATTCTGAGGCGCCTCAGGCTGCACCATTTAAGGTGGAACGGAAAAATTCGGTAAGAAGTCTGACTTCGGCTCCGTGCTTTTCCCCACATTTGGTCAGTAAACTGTTGTCTGTTCCTGCTAGCAAAAGTTTGGAGACGGGTGTGGATGGATGTTGTGGTGGTCCGCCCTCCTCCTCAGCTGAGGCAGCGCTCAGGTCGCAGTTTGCTTGACCATGAAGGGGAGGGTTCTCCGGGAAGTCCAGCTGGGCAAATGGCCCCTAATGGACCACCGCTTAGCTGGAGGGAGCGTTTTAAACTTGCTCGGGAAACTAATCGCAGTTTCACTGGTGACGCCAGCAGGGCTGCGCAGTGTCATTGTTGTTGATTTGTGCATCAAAAACAGTCATAATTTATTTTTATATAATTTTCCAAATATTATCCTTTGGAATGAGGCTGTTTTGTTATTGGGTTATTAAGCCTGATATAACTTGTGTAATATAAATATCTGTTCAAAAAGCTGTGCAGGCTGAAATACTGTATATAACTTCAGTGTGAATAGGCAGGGAAAATGTCCTGTAGTCTAATAGTAAATGTAGATGTGGAGGTTTTTGTGACTCTACAATCACTAAATTAACTAAATAAATTTGAAACAGGTCCCTTCTGGATAAAGTGTCTGTATATGTCCTGTTTGGACTGAACTGTATGTTTTGAAACTTACAGTGTCTGCATAGTGCATCAAACTTACTTTCTCAAAACAGTGAGGAAAGTTATTTTCTCTACGGTTGACGTGTCAGACCTCTAAGCCCTTCTCAGGTTCCCTCAGCATTGACTTTAGCCATTGCTTATTGACAGGAATACAGCTGTCTCTACTCTCCTGTGGAGTCTTATGTCAGCCAATTCTGCATGATGGCTTTTTGACATGGTCCTTATGGACTTCATTGGCTCAGGTTTTCTGTATTGGACATATTGTGGTTTTAATCATACATTTCAGTGTTTGTAGCACAAGCTGTTGTGCAGAGCTGTAGACTTTCTCATGTCAAACCAATAACAAATGGCTGAGCAGTGATGATATTTATTGTTATTGTGATAATTTGTCAAATTGTCACAATATGTTGTTCTTCATATGCAATTTGTTAAAAAAAAACAATGTCCATCTGATTTAAGGGTTTTTGATGAGTGTACAGATAGAAATGCTTCAGAATCACTTGGAATAAAATCTCTTTACAGTAACTTACACTGAAAGTAAAGAACTTTTTTGCCTTCTCCTATAAAGTTGCTACTTCAGAGATACTTGTTTGTTTTTTTTATTTACATTTATTTATGTCAACCCAGCACACCCAATTCACATTTTGTTTGTTGCAGCATAAGACTGTAACGGCTGATGAAAATGATCGCGTTCTTCTTAAATGCGATTAGGCAGTTACGTCATAATTGTTACAGCCCTAGCACAAACATACACACAGTTTGTAGCTATTCT